TGGTGCTAATGGTCTGCAGATGCCCGTCATTGGCCCGGCTCAGATTGCATTGTCTCTGGGAGAAAGATCAAGGCTCAATCAAGTACAGTGCCTGTCCTTACCCCGTACCCAGTACAATGGAATAAAGAGCCAAGCCAAGCCAGACTCTTGTCCACCCACGCGACCTGCACGTGCCATATGTCTTTTTCCGCACATGACATCATACTATATTGGATTCTATCTTCAGTATGGAGTATATGTAGTCAGTATAATAATGAGATATATGGAGACAAAGCTCAGGATGACAATACAACAAGGTCAACATAAACAGTGTGGTTTCTCATTTTGTATACTGTCAAAAGCTGGGGCGGTCGCCAATGATCTTTATCCACATCTATTTCGCGTTTACTCCACATTGTGGAGTAGTCTTCACAAAGAAAGCCTAGCCGGTGACCAGAATCGTATACCATCCCTTATTTAATAAAATTGCTGTCAAATCCTTCAATAAGGCCTGCTGGCCCAATGGCAAGGCGCTTGACTACGAATCAAGAGATTGCAGGTTCGATCCCTGCGTAGGTCAATTTATTTTTTCTAATTTTTTTTACTGTTGATTCCCTTTGGGCTTCTTTCTTTTCTTTGCGCTTTGCTCTTTCTCCTCTTTTGGATTTCTGATCTATCTGACCTTGATCCGTTTCCTTTTTTATTTCTTTTTCACCTTCTTTCATTGAGATACCTCCTTTTGTCCATCAGTCGTAACAATTGTTTTATTGTTCTACGTTATCGGCGAATTGGGTTATAGTCAAGCCATGCCTCGGATTCATTATAAACATCAATATGAACATTGATATAGGTGCAGCATTTTCGAAGCGAGTAGCGAATGTGATCAAAACACATATGCCCAAAGGATTTTATATTAAATCAGTTTGATTAAATAAACAAAGGAAAATAAGGCCATCGCACGCATCACTTCATCAACAAGCTAACAGCCCAAGGAACACTGAGTCCTCGCAAATCTCCATAATGCTGCCCAACTCCCAAGAATACAATGGGAATGCCAGTTGCATGGACCATGCTCACGAGTGTACCAACCATGTCCCCGACAGTGTCACACTTGCTGATAATGAACCCATCCAGGTTTCTGCCAGTACCAAATGCCTGGTTGAAGTTCCGCGCCTGCATCACACTATCAGTGCCAACCAGAGCTTCTCCAACCATGAAGATCTTGTCCGGTTTGGCGAATTTGCCGAACTTCTCCAAAGAAGACATCAGGCGCTGGTCGTTATGACGCCGGCCAGCAGTGTCGATCAAAACAACATCAAATTTGTTGGCGGCTCCGTACTCAACAGCATCCTTGGCAACATTTGCTGCATCCTTGCCATATCCCTTCTCATACAGCTCAACTTGCCCGACGTTTTCGCGGACACTGAGTTCTTTCAAGTTCCGGGCGTGGACACGAAGTTGCTCGACGGCGCCAGAGCGGAAAGTATCGCATGCGGCAATCAAGACGCGATAGTTGTTTTGCAACAGGAAGTAGCAAATCTTGCCCAAATTGGTCGATTTTCCAACACCGTTAACTCCGACTATGGAGATGACATAAGGACGGGGGGATTGCTGTTTACTTGTGGGAGATGTGACTGTATCGATCTCACGAAGCAGATCTAGTGAGGATGTAGGGGTGAGTATCTTCCGCAAAGACGACTCCATGGCCAGGCGCAATGCAGCATCCACACTTTGGAAGTTTCCTGTTTTCTTTCCGACAAGTTCCCGCTGCACACCGTCACAAAGGCGGACTGCCGCTTCACGTGCCACGTTCTTCTTCAGAAGATGGTCCTCCATAGCCTTCAGGGGCTTCTCCAAATCGGATTCGGTCAAGACTTTCCCACCCACGATGTTGCGGAAAAGGCCACCGATAGCGTTGAATCCTGAGCCAACGAGTCCTGTGGACGTGTTCTTCGCTTTCTCGCTGTCCGCACTCTCCAAGATAGAATGAACCTCATCACCCAAGTCTTTCAAAACAAACTGTCCTTTCCCAGTTCTGTGGCCCCAGGAATCCTGTGCAACAGCTTCCACGGCTGGAGCAGCTGCTTCGTCGCCATCAGCAGGTGCGGAATAGTCTAGAACCGTACCATCATCTTCATCAGCATATCCATCAGCATCCCATTTGCGCATCTTCTTTCCTCCTTTCGGTGTCTTTCCCTTGCGGATGCTCTCATCCCCCGATGAAACGTTTGCGCTCGCATTCGCCGCTTTGCGCGCACGGCGAGAAACTCGACCACCCGGTCCTCCTCTAGCGGTCAAAATCTGGCTCGCGACAGGCGTGGTTGATCGAGAAGTATCTGGGGTCTGGGGCGGCGTACCCTCATCAGAGGTCGCCACGCCCGGCGCAGCGTGACGCTGCGCTTTATAGGTGTCAGCATATCCTCTTAACCCATGGTCAAAAAGCACATACCTTGAAGAAGGCCCGGCACAGATGGCGGTGGAGGACCACCATGTTCCGATGAGACAAGCGGGTCTTTCTTCTGTTCCGCACCGGTCACGACACCCTCTGAATTAATGGGCGCTGAATTGTCTTCAAGCTCCCTAACTTGTTGTTCGAAATATCTGTCAAAGGGATATTCGACCACCCTTGCACGCGTACTCCGTAGTTGGTCTTTGTAGATATCGACGAACAAGGTCGAAATATTGTCCAGAAGTTTGTCGATCCAACCGAGATGCAGAAGTGATTGATATACGGCCTGTGGCGAAGTCTAGATTAGCGGCGATAGCAGCATGCTGTAAGAGCAGTACATACCACAAAGATCAGGTTAAACTCCTTGACTCTCTTCCACTTCAAGGTATATTTTTCCTTTTTGTACACTGGGTAGACCGCGTTCGCCGTTTGGATCTGGACCTTTTCTTCGATAAAGACATCATTGATAAGGCTGTTGACAACGTGGGCGCCAACGGGGGCGTAGGACTTGGACCATAAAACCACCCCGGAGGTAGTGAGAATCTCGAACGCTTCCAACATTATTTTCGAATATGCTTTGCTAAACTAATTGCGTAGTGGTGTGTATGTACGTAGTATGGATGAGCTGTAGGAGAAGAACAAGAAGATCCGCAGTGTGGGGAAATTATCCTGCGGGCGGAAAAGCCATTTAATTCAATTACTGAGCTCGACCTTCACCACCTCCCAAGAGTTCAGCCACGTATAAACACCCACTCCGACCAACTATTTCACTCTCCTCCGACTCTGCACAATTTTGCAACTTAAACATTCCTTGATTAAAGCTGGACCCTCATTTTGTTTGATTCTCCCACTCCGTTCTCTCTATCTAGGGAAAACAAAACCATGTACCGCCAGTCCTTCGCTCCGCCACCAGCACAGTCACCTCCGCTTCATCATCCGGTTCCTCAGCATGTTTCCACCGTCCCTATGATGCGCTCTCCTCCCCCTCCGACATCTCAGCAGTCTCAGACGTCTGGCTATGGCAGCAACCCATATCAGCCCGCTCCGGCGCAAGGCGGCAGTGGGACATACGCCCCTGGATTTGGAGGTTTCATCAACGATCCCACTGCGCAAATGGGATTTCAGGTCGGGAAGACCGCCATGATGGCCGGCCAAGAATATATGGAACAGAATGTAGGCGATTGAAAACGCAAGGGCAGGCTGATTGTTCTTTCAACTAACTATCCGTGTCAGCTCAACCGCTACGTTTCCATTCCCGCCCTGAAGCACTATTTCAATGTGTCCAACTCTTATGTATTGAATAAACTCGCTCTGGTACTCTTTCCTTGGAGGCACAAACCTTGGTCTCGTCAGCAAAGCCGCGTCACGGCGGCATCCACTGGCCCCAATGGTCAGATCTCCCATCAGCAATACTCAACCATGTTCCTGCCCCCTCGCGATGACCTGAACTCGCCCGATATGTATATTCCGGTGATGGCTCTCGTCACATATATCCTCCTATCGGCAATGCTGGCAGGGTTTAGAGGCAACTTCCACCCCGAACTACTTGGTTCGATCACGACCACAGCTATTGCGGTCATCGTATTCGAGATACTTTGTCTAAAGCTGGCCACGTATATTCTTAGCATCAACAATGAGTCGCAGCTACTGGATCTCGTAGCTTACTCAGGATATAAATTTGTGGGCATCATCATTACCTTGGTGACGTCAGAGATTCTGACTCCGGGAAGAGGCACTGGTGGTTGGGTCGGGTGGGTTGTGTTCATTTACACGTTCCTGGCTAATGCGTTCTTCTTGGTAAGTCCTTCTAACTAGGACCTTCCTTCCAAGCCAATCGACTAATGTATTATCTAGCTTCGTTCTTTGAAATACGTCCTTCTTCCAGACTCGGCCAGTGATGCACGCACGGGATCGATGCACACCGTCGCCCGGTCGCAACGCAACCGTCGCACCCAATTTTTGTTCATCTATTCTTATGTTATCCAGTTTATCTTCATGTGGGTGCTGAGCCGAGAGGGCCCAACTGCTACGAACGTAGCTGGGTCAGCGTCGTAATTGAGCTATTGGACTCCACTGGATTTGCGAATTACGAGAGACGCCCTCACGAAGAGACAGATATGACATACATCAGTGAGAAAATCGGTTCCTGTGGGTGACTTTCGTTACGCATGCTATGTAAAGATGTTAGATAATTCCAGCTGTGTTATTTCATGTTTCAGCATAGGAGCGAATTTGGGCGGATACTCTCTTAATGTTCTGATAGATTCTTAGACCATATTTACCTACGTAATTTGTACCTACTTGTCTGAGAGCTATTGACCTGGTCAGTACGAGTTACTTCGCCATGCTTTGACAGTCGTGGCCTCTGAAGCAAACTTTCACATTCTATATTCTAGACGATGTTTTACTGGTCTAGAACTCTCGATTTTCATGTCCCTTCCTCCCCCCCCCTCCAAAACGAAAAAAAAAAAAAAAAAGAATATTCAGTCACTGAGCTTAGTTAGGGTTATATGCTCCAACAACTGGCGACGTGAAGTTGAGATAGGCCTCAGCATTATTCCTGAACAAGGTGCTAGCCACTTTCATTTCGTAGCCACTCTCGCCAAGCTTGATCCTTCAATATCGATCGAACCCTTGCCTCGAGCCATTCTGTATTACCCCAGAAACCCCATGATGCTTGGAAGCGACACCAATCGACAAGCGCAGTCTCCCAGTGGCGGATCAGTAGGTTCATGGGATAATCGAATTCCTTCATTCCTGATGGGCGACGGGCCAGTAGGGTTTCCCGATAACGCTTCAGCAAGGCCCTTTCACAGTCGTCCATGAGGAGCTCCTCACGGATGTCGTAGTCGTTGGTGAGCATCTCCAACGGTACAGAGCACGTAAACAACTTGGCAAGATCGCAAACCCCTAAGCCCAATCCAACGTATTGAAAGTCAAAAAAGGCTACCTCATCGCCTGAGCTGGTAGTGAAAAGATTCTCGGACTTTACATCACCGTGAATATAACTTTCATAGGGCCGGCCGCATGGGGTGAGAAAATTAGCCACCTGATCAGCAATCGACAAATTTGAGCCTTGCGGCGGCTCACAAAACGCAGCAGACCACTCAGAGTCAGTATCTTCTACTAACGAGGCAAGCTCCTTCTGCCGAGTTGCGAGGTAGGTGTAGCCCCCGTTCAACCAGAGTTTATCACCACCTGCAGATAGATCAGCTCTTCTTCTTTGCATCTCCTTCAATGGCGGCAAGAGATATCGATCGAGCTCGTCTGGAAGCAGTTTCCAGGTATTGGCATGGAACTTTGCCAGCCACTCAATGGCGGCATAGACCTGCTGTTGATTGAGAAGTGCTCTCTTTTCTCCTGCAACAGGAAATTTTAGACGGAGATCCTCCATGATAGTGGCAGTCAAGCCCTGGAGTTCCTGGCTGTTGCCTTGTTGCAAGTGTCTTGTGGAAGCTAGGCAACTTGCAACGGCAACATCCTGGTCCAAAGACGGTGTGATTTCTTGATAGAAATATTGCTCAACTTCATAGCTGAGCATTTTACGTAGGTGGCCTTCATCGCCGTCGCTTTTGGGGGGCGAGATGAGTTTGAGGATGAGGTGAACGTTACCGTTCGCATCCTCGTTCAGGTTGGAAGTTCGAGTGGTCTGGTTTGCCGAAGCTCTCGCCGTGATCGCGCATATATGGCCATAGCCTGCCCAGAGGGTCTGAAGGACCCTACAAGAAACTAGCTCGAGACCGATGGACGAGAGTAATGTCTCGGCAACAAGCTTGGCTTTGGCAGGAGACATGGTATGGGGACCGGGGGGGTTAACGATTGTATGGCTTAGATTGAAGCTTTGGGAAATGGATATGCAGTGACGATCACGTTATTGTTTACCGCCTTGAAAATTTACGCATGCTCATACAGATACAAAGGTTACCAGGCAATGGTGCAATTCTCAGAAATTCGAATATCATCTTCATGCTAACTATGTATGCTATCCAAGTCCAGGGTATGTAAGACCTATAACGTCGAACGTTAGACACAGATTCCGAAGATAAATGGTATCAATATGTGAGATTGAGGATGTTCCATCAGAGATCTTGGTGATAAGGGTAATATCATTGCCAGAAGCATCAATTACTATCTAGGCAGTGCAAAGTTGTCTTCCTCGGAACATGGGCAGATGAAGAAAAAGAAAATTCCGAACGTACCTATTCCAACCTGAGATGGCTTGTTGGAGAAGTGATGATCTATATGAGAACCTGCTCAGAGTCTTTTGATATGTTAGCCACGATTCCATATATAAGATGGGGTGATAACAATCAAGTGAAGTTATAAACACGTATCAGAATATGTAAGAAATTAAATATCATACTTCAGTGCTGTATCGAAACTCCGGCGAGAGCTTCACAGACACCGGGTCAATCGCAAATTACCGCATCATATAAGTGTGAAGAGGGAAGAAAGAAGGAAAAAACCATGTTGTACATACCAGTGTGATTATGCTGAAGACTGTTGACAATTAGTCCGAAACCAGCTGATCGTGAATCTTTGCCCAAAACAGCATTATGTTTTGATGGAGAGAAGAGAAAAGAAAAGCTGAAGCTTTTACTTTGCAGGAACAAAGGAAAAAAAAGTCCACCAGAGAAAATGAAGCTTAAATGCGACGGGATCGGAAGCGGAAGAATAGCAGGCTCCGAAGGCGGCGCTAAGACAACGAAGCAGCCCTAGTCCGCACCACAGGTCCCATCGACGGGCTCCGACTGGCTGTTAAGCGAGAAACTGTGGGCAACGCCGCAAGACCGAAATTCGCGACTCCAGCAGCCAGAGCGAACTTGTGCGTTTCGGACGACCCTTCGACAACCCCGACCACTTCGACAACAAATTCCTCCACCGACCTCCCGGAGTCTGTCGACCGTGAGTGATTGATGCGCCCGTCTATCGTCCCAGTGGAATCTGTTATACTGAGATCGTCATTTTTGGCAAATTTTTAGGAAGCCTTCGCCATGGCCGATATCGATATCAAGATCGCTCAATGGAAGCTCGTTGAGATTGGCCGTGTGGTGCTGATCCGCCGCGGCCCCTACACCGGCAAGCTGGCCACCATCGTGGAGATTGTCGACCACAGACGTGTATGTTTTTGATCCGAGCGAGATATGGGACAGCCGCGATTAGGATGGGCAAAGAATACTTGGAGATGGACATGATATTGACCAAGTGTCGCAACGAAATAGGTTCTGGTTGACGGTCCTTCCACCGAGGAGAACAAGATCGTCCCCCGTCACGTTCTTCCTCTCGCCCACGCCACCCTCACCCACTTCGTCATTCCCCAGCTTCCCCGTGCTGCCGGTACCGGCCCCGTCAAGAAGCTCTGGCAGAAGAGCGAGATCGACAGCAAGTGGGCTCAGTCCAGCTTCGCCCAGAAGACCGAGCGTGCTGAGCGCCGGAAGAACCTCAACGACTTCGAGCGTTTCAAGGTCCTGCGCCTCCGGAAGCAGGTACGTGGATGGTCCCCATTGATGGTTTTTGGAACGATGAAACTAGGGCTAGGAACATATATTGGGCCTTGCGCTGGGATCGGTCAATGAGAATAGGATGGAAGACTGACATTATGGACTTTTTAACAGGCTCGCTTCGAGGTCCAGAAGGCTCACGCCAAGCTCAGGGCAGCTGCTCCTAAGTCGTAGATGGTTTACTTCATGAGGCTCGGTGCATAGTGTGAAGGGAGTGCCTTTGGGACGGTTTTACATTGCTGAGGGTTTATTTGGTTTCAGCAAAAAAGACGCTGTACGCATTATCATTGGCAGCATAAAATGATTCGAGAACCTTGATATCCTGACCAAAGAGGTTACGCTCGTACGTCACAGAAGACGGCACACCTTTCTACTAGTATTAAGGAGGCTCCGGGTTTACTTATCTTGACATCAGCGGGCCATGCCTTTTTAATGGAAATTGGGGAATGATCCACAAAAGCCATGAAGGGAAATCAAGAAAAAACAAAAACAAACGTAATTTTCATGACCAAGCGCTTTTATTTAATTTCGTTGTATTTTTGCGATTCTAGAATTGAAATAGAGCAATTCCGATAAATTTTGTCGGGATATGGTCATGTAAAAGTTGGGGATATACATTCATTCGTTCATTCATACATATAGACATGAGAGTCATACATACATAGTTCGTAGTAGTTGAGTCGCTTGTGTGTCCCGGCGTCTGGGGGGGGTGGGAAACTCGTGAGGGACCCAATCAGCTCGCTAACGATTTTCGGCAGCCATGACATTCACACAGCTTTGCGCCTTTCCACCTTCAACCAGACCAAAAAACCCCCCTCATCCACCACAGTAATCTTTTCTGTGTCTAGGTACGTTATTATTGTATCTCTGGCCGTCAAGATGATTTTTTCGCTCGGAACTGGTGAATTCCTGCAGTTTTCGTGGGCGGGACCCTCCGGTTTCGTGGGCCACAATTCGAGCCTCCAAGCGACCGAAACAGTCCTAGAGTGCGAATTGCTGACCCTCGATTTTATAGCCCCTTTAGGCTCCCCCAATTCACAAAATGGCCGACCCCCGTGTTGAAGAGATCGTTGAGGAGGAGACTCCCAAGCAGACCGTTGAGGATGCTGGCAGCGACTCCGAGTCTGAGGCTGGCGAGGAGGCCAACATTCCCGCCGGTGCCGCCGTCACCATCCACTCTCGTAACGAGAAGAAGGCTCGCAAGGCCATTGGCAAGCTCGGCCTGAAGCATGTTCCCGGCATCACTCGTGTCACTCTCCGCAGACCCAAGAACGTATGAACTCGACCTACCCCGCCTTCGTCCGATGCTCAACAGTCCCTGTGCTCTAGTTGGCGATGAGCAGCATAGATGCATGAATGCAGAGGCTAATATGTCTCTTACAGATCCTCTTCGTCATCAACCAGCCCGATGTCTACCGCTCCCCCACCAGCAACACCTGGATGTATGTCTTTGAAATATGAACATTGGATGTATTCGTTGGCTTACACGTTGAACAGCATCTTCGGTGAGGCTAAGATCGAGGACTTGAACTCCCAGGCCCAGGCTTCCGCTGCTCAGCAGCTCGCCGCTGCCGAGGCTGCCGCCGGTGAGCACGCTGGTCACGACCACGAGCACGAACCCCTCGGTAGCAAGCTCCCCGAGGCCGAGACCAAGAAGGAGGAGGAAGAGGATGATGGCGAGCCCGCTGACGAGAGCGGACTTGAGGCCAAGGACATCGAGCTCGTCATGGCCCAGGCCAACGTGTCTCGCAAGAAGGCTGTCAAGGCTCTTCGTGAGAACGACAATGATATCGTGAACTCCATCATGGCGCTCAGCATATAAGCGCTGCCCATTTAATTTCGCGCTATCAGTGGCTGGTGTCTCTTAGCCCTGCTGGCAGGATGGCTTTGGGTGAGAGGTCAGGTTGATATCCCCTAGGATGCATGTTCTGTCAGGCCCTAGTGTAAATCAAGAGTTCAAAACAAAAAAAGCAGAATTGAACGACCCAATGCTTCCTCAAATTGTCAGTAAATCTCTAGATGTATCTTTTTCCCAATATTGCAAAATTTCTAGGAGTAGGACTTGGATCCATTGCATCCATATATACAAAGGTCAATAAATAGGGCCTTGAGGCTTATACATCCACCGTACTCCTGTTTCTTGGCTGTATTCGTTTGTGTTCGGAACACGGGAACCCATAGGTCACGTGAGAGACATCCCCATTCCAAACCTTTGCCGAGTTGATCCTCACTCCCGGAACCTCAGTCTTTGCACGTTGAACTCCCCCCTCCCACCGATATCCCTCCAATCCACACTTCAAAATGGCCGCCGTATGTCAATTTCGCCCTGATGCGTTGGTTATCATTGGTTGCAGAAAAATTCAAGTCCGCTAACGGTTCGTGTACAGCGCAGCGCCGCTCTTAAGATTGACTGGGTCAAGGTGACCAGCTCCCTCGGCCTCCGCGGCCAGACCGCCGCCTCTCTCCAGGCTTTCAAGAAGAGGAACGATGATGCCCGTCGCAAGGTTCAGCTTCTGTCCGAACAGCCCCAGACCATCGACTTCGCCCACTACCGCAAGGTCCTGAAGAACCAGGCCATTGTCGACGAGATCGAGAACCAGTTCAAGACCTTCAAGCCCGCCACCTACGATGTTTCCCGTCAGCTGAAGGCCATTGATGCTTTCGAGAGCCAGGCTGTTCAGAGCGCTGAGGAGACCAAGGGCAAGGTTGAGGCCGAGCTCCGCAGCCTTGAGAAGACCCTCGAGAACATCGAGACCGCCCGGCCATTCGATGAGCTCACTGTGGTATGTTTTGGCCTCGATGGATTGCGTATGCCAATTTGGCAGGGGTGTAGATATACTAATCCGTTTCGCTTTCTTTTCTACAGGATGAGGTTGCCTCTGCCCAGCCCGAGATTGACGAGAAGACCGCCTCTATGGTCAGCAAGGGCCGCTGGATGCCGGCTGGTTACAAGGTGAGACCTTATATATTCGAATGTACGGTTATACGCATACTAATACCCGTCCTTACTTTCAGGAGCGCTTCGGCGATATGTCTGTTGTCTAAACTATCAGCATTATCTGTCATTTTACGCCTCTTTTCTCCTTCGACCAGTGTCATCACACGATGGGATTTCTTTTGTCAAGCATGTTGGCCAGCTAGGATACCCTTTGCGTCTGGCAGTGTGAACTTGGTTGTGGGACGTGTATAGAAACAATGTGCAATTTAGAAGATGGTTTCCTGCATTAACCAACAGCCTTGTTCTCTTTTTTTTATTGCTTCCGTAAACGATGTTCAACCCGTCGATGAATACTGCGAGGGAGTCCTCTTCTATTCTATAGCACTAGTGGATTGAAAACTCCTACCATCTGGTCTTCTCTATCGCACAGCTTATGAATATCTAGTAAGCGGCAAGTATGCTTGAACGATGTTCCACGATAGGTACAAGAGGTGAAGTCTAAATATATTCTACGGATATGAATACGCGAGAAGATTTTACGTATATACTAGTCCAATGTTTCCAAAGCGCTTACTGCTTTGTCCGACAGAAACCTGACGTTGGGACCTCAGGCAGCTGTTTAGTTCCGCCTTTGGCGGTTGAACCTCAACTACTCGCCTTTACCGATTCCTACGCGTCACGCCCGACTTCTCTAATTACACTTTATATCCCAGCGCTGCTGCGTAACGCCCGGGGGTAAGATGAGTCACGGCGCTTAATTGCAACACTGTATATCACACAGCTTATTCTAAATTCTCTACTGCTAGGGACAAGTGATCTGAGCCCCGCATCTCTTGCGGTCCGGAGACTGGCTGCTGTGAGCGCCCATCCTGGTATTTGCCCTGTGATCAGTCTGAGGCAATTCATCTGATCACTCGCCAGCCTTGTGGTTTATTTACCACAAACTGTCCGTTGATGACCGATCAGCTGCGTACATACGATATGACGAAAGGAGCCCTATCCCATCCGTCTGTTGTTTTATAGAGACTACAGAAAGACAGACTTCGATGAGCACCGGTTGGATTCTATCAGAGATCCACTGCCCGCCTAAGCGTTTTTTTAAAACAGGTCCATCAGGCAGATGAATCAACTGTCACCACCGGGTCAGAACCGGTGTCACCTCGAAAATCTACCCGTGGAGATTATTCAGGAGATCTTCTTCCACTGCCTTGAATTCAATCTCCCGCGCGCCTCTCTGTGTATCTCTAGGGTTCTTTCTGATCCCACGATCTACACTTGGCTTATCCGACTCGCCTTCAGCAGCGCCAACGAGAGCTCAAAGAGTGGTTTCTTTACTCCAGACTTTCTACCGCCGCCTCTGAGCTTCTTCGCGCTCTCTGAACATCAGCGAAGGGATCTTCAAGATGAAATTCTTGCTTCTCGTTGGTGCACACTACCCTTGATACGCAAATGCCAAAGGGAGTACGTGGAACATGCCATTCGCCGTAAATGTCGAGATCTAGATTTAGTCCCTGATGATCACTATGCTCTAGCCAACATCAACAGTCGCTTCAGTAACCTAGAAAGTTGCGACAAAGGCTGGGGAGGATCCCGCAGTAAAGGCGATTTGATTCTGAAAGCTCGAGACCGAAACACCGACGTAGAGTACAAAGTCGCAGTATGGTTTCATTTCGGGGCGTTACAAGTCCGCAAGCCCAACAAGCTAGTCACCGACCTCGATCTCTTTCGCCTTCCATGCTGCTTGCCGGAGCTGCCGGCTTGCATGCCAAACAAACTGCTCGGCCCACCTTGGACCGACACGAAGCTTGAATTGCTCCAATTGCTCTCTATGGACGCGTACATCGATGCAGACGACAGCTTCACCCGTTCGCGGCGCATCCTCCGCCAGGTCATCCGGGACCGTGATTTCCCGACCTTCCAGCGACTCGTCAACATGCATATCCGCTGCCAGTGCTATAAATACCCTGTGCGCTGGCCTGTCTTCCCAACCCACTTCCAGGTAGCATTGAAGTACGCGGACGAGCATGACGATCCATTCATCAAACTACTAGTCGAGCAACGATGGGATGATATCCCTGCAAATCTGCTACATCTCAAAGACCAATTGATGTCTAAAGCGGGGACGAGCCATATGTAATAACGTCTTTAATCAGCCTGCGCTTCTCTTAAGAAATCCATTGCTATAATACAGAGTTGGGGAATAGAACTGAAAACACAAAAGCCGATAGAAACCAAAGACGAAACATCAAGCGTATCCATCGTAACTCATAGCGCGCCGCGATTCACAATTTTAGATTCTGGACCGCCGTGTTCGCGTTGTTCCTCTCCTCCTTCGTCCACAGTAACCGCAAGTCAGACAGGAGATGATCACATCACAGAGTGTGACGACGCCGTCGATGATCGCTTTGCAGACCGCGCCGATAGTATTGACGATACCCATGAGACAGGCACCGATGGCGTGGAAGACGCTTTGGATCTGTGATGTTACGTTAGAATATGTTTTCTGATCAGACAAGAATGAAGGGGAAAGAGGAGGGAATCATACACAGGACACAACAGCACCCATCTTGAAAAGATATCAATGGTTTAAGTCACTGGGTTGTTCTTGGTTTAAATCAAACACTGAATGATGTCTTGGTAAATCTGAAATAGAGTCATGTATTGTGGTTTTCTTTCGTGGTAGAGTATAATGTATTTGAATTATTCTGACCATAGAATCTCCCGAACCTAGAATAGCACGAGATATATATATTACTTACATCCTCCGCCCCAAGGATGCATTCACCACGCAACACTGACAATGATGTATGTCACCAAACAAGGCCAAGCTCGACAGCCCTTACTGCGCATACTAAATCCATAGCCCATCAGATTGCTATCTTGACCGCCATTTTCGTCATACTGACATGGAACCAAGAATCCCGTCCTGATTCTCGCCCGCCGAATCAGGCAAAGACACGAGGATCATTACCTACTGATCGGCTGGTGACTGAACCCGCATTCGCCACCTGGCAATTAAACTCTTCTTGTGTGAATCTTATTGTCGCTTTTACTATTCTTATTATCTTGAAAAGCGTTTGAGTTGGGTCTGACGTCATGTGCCAGTAGTGAGTCGGATGACTAAGGTAGGGCTTGTCAGGTGGCTGAACAGCCCTATGGATTGGATTGGATTGGTTCCTGAGGAGCGGATATGCATCGGTAAGTGTTGCCGCTTTAACCGCATGACCTATGGGCATACATGGACACCTATGACAGATACCAGGAACTGAGATACGGTGAAAGCTTAGATTATACTGAGGCAGTTGTGTTGAACACTATATCCATTCTCACGATGCTGTAATACGTAGTCCAAACTGCTATGATACTACACGTCACAATGGAAGTTGGCATCTCTAGTTGTTGTAGCGGCACTGCTCACCTACTAAAAAACAGGAGAAAATGGAGAGCCTCAGGCATCTCGACCTTTTATCTCTCGACCCACATCATATCAGACGTTGAATCTAGCAAATAAAAATACATGCGATCAACGACAACAAACTCCCGACCCGCCATGCCCGATAACCTCCCCTCCCATCCAATGGCCCGCGACAACAAAAATTGAGCGACAAAAACCACCTGCTCCGTGCCGCCGGGCATGCTCACGCCGATCCGAGTGCGCGGCCGTAGAAAAAAACGCCCTGCTCCCACCGAAGATGCAGGACCTCAACCCAAGCGCTCAAGAGGCCGCGGCGGGCGACCGTTAATGTCGTTCGCCGAACGATACAGCTCCTCCCAAAGCCAAGCCATCAGACGTGCGCAACGTCTAATCGCAAAACCGGCCAAACAACCGCGCAAGAAACTCAGCCGGCTGGAGACCCTACCGGTGGAACTGATCGAGAAGATCTTCCTACATTCGCTGAACGTCAATCTACCCCGGGCGTCGGCGTCCCTCGCCGCAACGGTGTCGAGCGAGCGGATCTACCGCGCTTTGATCCTTCTGGCATTCTGGAACGATGTCCCCTCCTCGACAGGCCCGTTTGATGCTGTCTCCGCGACGGCAATCGCGAAGATCCTGAGGCCGTTGGATTATATCCCGCTTGACCTCAACGAGCGGGGCGCGTTGCAGAGTGCCATTATACGGTGTAAATGGTGCACAGTGCAGCGGCTTCTGAGCCGGTTCCCGGATCTGATGGGTCTCAGTATTCAGCGATATTGGTTCAGTGCAGGAATCACGATGGCAGAAGACCAAGAAGAGAAGTTGAGACGGTTCCTTGCGCGCGACGAGGACGAGGACGAGACCCGCAATTTCGAAGGCACGGATAAAGATAATAACCACTACACACTGTCCGTGTCACCTCTTGTGTCTGTAACAGTTACCTGCCACGAAACGGAGACTGCGCAGACGCATCGCATCCTCGGTATCACGGAGTTTCCGGAACGACTCCTCAGGGGTGAAAACGGGTTCACGTCAGATACTATCGCCTACCTGGAGACGCTTCGACTCGCGAGCGGATTCAATACTTCAGAGCTTATGGAAACGCATGTTTCTTTGTCGCGCGATGTCCTGCAGAAGGGTATCCATGCGGCTTTGGTAGAACAGAATACTGAGGCACTTACTTCCTTACTCAAGATAGATGAGTATTATTTCCGGTGTAGGAACACAAACGTCGCGGTCACGAATAGTGTGCCGTATACGATTCCAGCGGAGCATTTTCGTACGGCTGTGCGGGTTGCGCGCGATGAGCCGGCACTGTTTCAGCTTCTTGTCCGCGCCAGTGCGGAGTCTGTGCCGGATGATTCAGGTATCACGCAGTGGGCTATGGATTTAGATAATTCGTTTGGACGGTGGCTTCTTGATCTTATGTTGCAGCTGCCGCAGCGGATTGAGGCGGCGAATGCCAATCCGGCCGAAGGAGCGGTGTTCTATCTAGGGAGAGCAAATGGACAGGTAGAATTGGCGAGACGATATTTGAATGAGGTTTTGGGGGTTGAGGAATTGGGGAGTTGGATGGAAGAAACTTCCCATGATTTTGAGAGCCAGTGGAGGTCTCTATAGAGACTACTTATTACGCACGGCATGGGTGGATTATCTTATCTTGTTTTCTACCATGTGTATTATATGATATTGTACATAAGAACATACATTCAATGTCGCTGGTGACATTGCTCAATTAATAAAAATCGTATAACCTAACTTACATGTTCTTCAACAGCCTTAGTATACCAGTAACTCTTCCGGCCAGAGTCAACTGGTATCCTGTTTCAACGACACCCTTGCACATTTCCCAAGCGCCGGTCCCATTCTGACGACTACCATCTCCCTTGCAGATAGGATAATCCACGCGTGGCGGGATGCGAGTCGCCATTAACTTGGGGAACCGGTCGACGCAGAGGGACTTGATGTTGCTCACACCACGCAGTCCTTCTTCTCCCGCAAAGCGACCGTATCCGGATCCCTTAACTCCACCGAAAGGCAGCTGCACGGCATAGTAGCTTCCAAAATCGTTGACAGATACCATTCCCGCTTTGATGTTCGAGACGCAGGCTGCGACGTCAATATGGTTGTAGCCGAAGACGCTAGCGCCGAGAGCATATTCCGTTGAGTTTGCGATAGCGATAGCGTGGGGTACTGAGTCGGCGCGCATGAGGAGAAATACTGGGGCGAAAAGTTCTGTTTGAGCGATCCGCATGGAAGGTGTTACGTTCGCAAGGAGAGTGGGCGCAAAGTAATGGCCATGAGGATACTTGGGATGGTTGACACGTTTTCCACCGCAGATAAGGCTCGCGCCTTGTTGGACTGCGTCGTTGATCAATGATTCCAGGCGGTCGAAGGAGGCCGGAGAGATTAAAGCGCCCATGTCTGGAGCACCAGGTTTCTGCTGAGGATCTTCGGGTTTGGATTCAAGGAGGACTGAACCAAGACGGAATGACTTAACGCGTGAAGACACATCATTCAGAAGTTTGTCATATACTCCAGGCAAGGCAATGACCCGCTCAACACCAATGCAGTTTTGTCCAGCGGATTGAAAGACACCTCGCATGAGAATGGACGCGATAGATGAGATCTCGCTCACTGTTCTGGCATCGTCCAGAATGACGGCAGGGTCCTTGCCACCCAGTTCAACAGTCACTGGAGTCAGTGCCTTTGCTGCTGACTCGCAAACCTTGTGCGCGACCGGCCTTGATCCAATGAAGGTCAACTGAGCGATGTCCGGATGTGAGGTCAAGAACTCTGCTACTTCAGGCAAGCAGACAACGCTCTGCACAAGATCGCGAGGGTGACCGCATGCCGAAAGAGCGCCTCTCACGACTTCCAAAAAGAACGCCGAGGACCATGCAGTTTGCTCCGATGGTTTTACAACCACACCGTTTCCTGCAAAGATACCACTGATAATTGGACCGATGAAGTTATGCAGGGGATAATTCCAAGAGACGCAGGCCGACACTACTCCAAGAGGCTCATACGTGACCATGTTCTTCTTGTACATCATCAGGAAATTCGTGGGTCTCGATTCGGGCGTCAATGCCTTCTCGCCGTGATCAATTGTCCATTTCAGCTTCTCCGCTGTCACAAGGATCTCTCCAAATGACGCATCGACTTTAGTCTTTCCAGAATCCAAACAACAAGCGGTGACAAGTTCTTCCTGATGCTCGAGCACATATCTGTTGTTCAAATGGGCTTCAGTTAGGTACAGTTTCTGGCCGCAGCAGGCTAGGCTATGGATGCAACGTACTTTAGCAATGTCCGCAAAACTTTCCTCCTTTCAGCAAAGCTAGTCCGAGCCCATTCAATTTGAGCCTTCTTCGCTGCTTGGATCGCTCGGTCGACGTCTTCAGTTGTTGCGGGTTTGATTCCGTTGCCTAGCATTCTTCCATCTGCAGGACAATAGCTCAAGATAACCCTGTCATTCCACAACTATAGGAGGGAAAATTAAAGTCAGCCATTGGCATTGCTCGAAGAAAGACAAAAATGAAGAACGAGTAAAACTTACCCCTCTAAGTTGACCCTCTAGCACCTTTTTCTCCTCCCCCTGAACATCTTCCCACGCTTTACCTTTCCAATTGGTACGGACTTCGGGTGGAATTGGCACGTTAAATAGCACGGCAGCTTCTTTTCTTCCCAGGATGTAAATATATCCTAGGTATATTGCGCCGAGCGAGAGAAGCGCGACACCGACCAAGGGAACTTGATCGCGGAGAGTTTGCGCGAGTGGAAGAAGAGCTGGAGGGATGTACGGGGTCAGGGCCTCCATTTTTGAAATCCAGACAGCTGCAATTGAGCTCCAGGAATCTGTCTGGAAAGGTTCAGGAGGCGGGCGAATGTGGGAGACGGAGATGCGCAGCGGAAGTGGTCCCATTGTTTTATCAGACATTCCGATAGGGGTGCACGTGCCACCCATACTATAGAATAGTCCATCAGACAATACAGTTCCTTTCCCTTGCTTATTACCGTCTTGTATGTTGAGCAAAACATGTACTCTATTTGTACTTGAATTGGTCTTCATACATACATGCACCTGTTGTCTTACTTTTGAGATACACAAGGTTCCCCATCAGCGGAAACCTATCTATCAGATTGTCTATTTACATCGAAACATGCTAAATCTTTTGAACCATCCTCATGCCTTCTCACTACGATGCTGCCGGCCAGTGCTCTTACGCTTGACAGGCGGCGAGGTCGCGGGTTCCCCCTTTCTCTTCCCGGTCCTTTTCACTAGGTGATCAATGACGCAGCCTTCGTTCCACCCGGCGGAAGATTGTCCAGTTATTGCTCGGCATCTTGGACAAGTCTTTCCATGTCGGATGAAGAGCTGATGAAGAGAGTACTTAAGGTGATTTGGAATCCGCACCTCGAGGTGGCCGAACGCCGTGATCTCTGTCGCCTTGTCCGGCGGTACCCAGCCGAGCCATTTGCAGATGCGGAAGATGTGGGTGTCAACCGCGAAGCACGGACGCTGTAGGCAGAAGAGCAGGACACAGGCAGCCGTTTTAGGTCCGATCCCGGGGTACTTGATGAGTTCTTCCATTACCTGTTCTGTGTTGAGGGTGTGGAGATGGTTAAGTGACAGGAAGTGTTGGTCCGCACATGCGATCTCGTACTGTTTGCTGTTTTCAGACTTCGGCATGAGATCTGACGGTCCAGCGTCCTCGCCTCTTACTAGGATTTCCCGGCGTTCCTGGTTTTCCGTGTGTACCATATCTAAAATGGCCTTGAGGTTCTTGCTCTTGATATCAGCCAAACCACCTCTCTTGATAGCATCAAAAACATCTTTAAGTGGCGCTTGACGAACGGCATCCCAGTTAACACTCCCTTTGCCTATCCCTTCGTGGAGGATACCAAACTTCTGTACCAGCCCATTGAAAGCCAGCGCAGAATTGTTTCCCGACGTGGCACCACTAAGCAAAGTTCGAATAAGCGCATCAAGAACAGAGGGAACCTCTCCACAACCCGTTACAGTCAGAGACGGCTCTGGTATGGTAGTGGGGGGAACAATCTCCCCATGTACGCTGGAGAGTAGCCTATTAACCTCTTCGCAGGCATCGGGGGTTGGATGGGGCCAATCTGGGAACGGAGTAATTCCGGGTGTTAGACGATATGGATTGGCCTTCTTGCTTTTACCTGTTGACACCGATCTTGGTGCTGTTGTGGCTTTCTCAACAGTTCTTTTCAGTTCATTCGCAATAGTGTCTATCACCTCCTCCTTGACCCCTGATGATAAGGCGCTGGTCTTATACTTTAGATTAATCGATGAGCCCAAATTATGGGGTAGCTCATTCGCAGCATTAATCTCTGACGCCGGAAGTTTTGTCTTGCGCCGCTTGGAAATAGGCCTAGTCTTTGAATTGTTTCCAAGAGAGGACGACTGTTGGCTGGGTGATTCATTTTCCAAACTGAGCGGCTTGGTGGCGAATTCTTGCTCTGACGTCTTTATTGCAGCTGCCAGTGATGCAGCTTCTTTGGCAGCGGCGGACCTTGTTATGCGACGCTCCATGAGAATCGTGCGCCACCGAGAAGTTCCTAGTATTAAGAGTAATAGTGGGTTGCGCTTGGTGTTGAAACGACACAACTAAGTTTTCCCGCCAGGTACCACTAATGTTCTAAGTTATGGCTATGGACATGGACATAGAACGTAAATTGGGTGATTTAATGGGAGGGAGTAATATATTGGATATGGACGTCCAGTTATACTGAATCTGGTGACAGAAATCACGTTCACGTGATCGGGATAAATTACTTCCGTATCATCCTCACTGAAGCACTTGCTATTGAATGCTAGAAGCAAACTTTGTTCGTCATAAAAGTATAAAGTCTATAGGTCATGTCGTGCATACAAACGGGTATCTGGATCCCTTTGCTATTGCGATGCGATAACCATCACCAAGCAGATAGCCTTCCGTTCTCTTTATCCACCGCCCACCAACTCCAGGACTCCAGATGATATGAATATACGGTCCATAAACTCATCAGTGATCATGGGTGATCGCCCATGTTGTGGATGCTAATGTCCATCCGGTCTTTGACCTTGGGATGCTCTTCGCTCGCCTCGGGTTTGCGAGTGCTGCAGAGGCTGACCTGTGGCACTTCCGACTCCCCCGGGGTTGATGCCGGAATGATGTTGCCGCTGGCATCCAATTTGACGCCGTTGGCAGCAATCTGGAAATCCTTTTCACTAGCGAAACCATGAGTTACGGCTTCCTTAGCCCGGTCCAAAGCCTTGATCTTGCGGCCTTCGCCTCTGATCTTTTCCAGATGATCGAAATACCCATCGGAAACAGGAGTGACGTAGTCACCACAGAACACGCCGACCTCAAAGTTCTGTGGTTCGGCCAACCCGTTCTCCTGGGCAATCTCCGCACAGGCACCTTTCAGGTCAGACAAGGTCTGGAAGATGACGCTGTCCGCGCCAATGTGCTTGGCGATCTGCTCGGGATCACGGTTATGGGCAACCAACTCGTTAGGCGACGCAAGATCAATACCATAAATATGAGCATGTCTGTGGAGATAGTTAGCAACGTGTTGATCACTCATAGATTGATGTGGACCACTTACGTGATCTCCGGTGCGCAACTGGCGAAATAAACCTTCTTAGCGCCAGCCTCCCTCGCCATAGTCACAATTTCCCGACTGGTTGTTCCCCGCACGATGCTGTCGTCAACCAGGAGGACATTTCGGTCCTTGAATTCTGCTTGCATAGCATTCAGCTTGCGGCGAACACCCTTCTGTCGGGTCTTCTGCTCGGGCATGATGAATGTCCGGAAAACGTAGCGGTTCTTTACGAAACCTTGGCAGTACGGGATGTCGAGATACCGAGCGACGGCCGCTGCGGACGTCGTAGAAGTCTCAGGGATAGGGATGACAACATCAATGTCCTTGACCACTTCCGGCCCAAGGACATCAAGAATCCTGGCGGCAAGGCGATCGCCCATCCGTTGACGGCTACGGTATACGCTAATGCCATCGATAACGGAATCAGGACGCGCGAAGTAGACATACTCAAAGATATCAGGAGCATAGGCCTTCTTCGGGGCGACCTGGCGGAACACAGGCTCGCCGCCCTTTTCAATGATGACTGCTTCACCAGGTTGAATGTCACGGATGTTAGTGAACCCAAGCTGGTGCAGAGCAACAGACTCGGAGGCCATCATATAGTCCGTGCCTTCGCCTTCGGCGGAAGGCCGGGAACCAAGAACCAAGGGACGGATGCCATAGGAGTCACGGAAACCGACAAGACCAAAGCCTGGTCAGGTTAGCATTCTCATTCTGATTTGCAGTACTGAGATTGGCTGATTGACTTACCAGCTAGCATAGCAGTGCATGCCCAGCCACCTTGACATCTCTCATACATCCGGCTAAGACTGGCAAAGACATCATCCTTGTTGACCCGCGCCTTCTTGGTTTCGCTCAACTCATCAGCGAAGACGTTGAGCATGAGCTCGCTGTCACTATCAGTGTTGATGTGACGGTGAGCCTCAAAATCCAGATATCTCTTGAGTTCCGGAGCATTGATCAGGTTGCCGTTATGGGCCAGACAAATGCCATACGGACTGTTGACATAGAAAGGCTGAGCCTCGGCATTCGCACTGCTTCCGGCTGTAGGATATCTCAAGTGACCGATGCCCATGAATCCCGGAAGGTCTGCCACCCTGGAACCGTCGTGGAAAACCTTGGCCGCCATGCCGTTTGACTTCAGCTGGTAGATACGACCACCTGCAGCACAGGTGGCGATTCCAGCAGCATCTTGACCTCTATGTTGGAGCAGGTATAGTGCCTCGTGCAGGTCAACGGCGGCGGACGACGACGGGTTCGCCTGGATCAGAGCAATGATACCACACATCTTGTGAATGTAATCGGATTTCTAGCGGATGCTTATGATTAGCCAATGCTCTCACGAAAGGATGAGCCGCGAGACAATATGAACAGCATCGAATATAAGATCAGGTCGGATTTTCTCCGCAAAAATGCTTAGGAAGTCTAACATCTATAATAAAAAAAACCGAAATTCATCATGGAAAGGAGGGGTATATTGATTGATAACCAGGCGGGGGATTACACCAGACAACTCACATGCTTGGAAGATGAATCAATTTGTCACACAGACACGCAATGGTGGGGGGACAGAGTTGGAAAAAATGGAACCAGTTTTGACTCTATCGAAACATAACAATAGTCATAGAGAATAAGGAGAGACTTTAATAGGTGACAAATCGTAGTAAATCACACCCACGGAGGGATTGAAGGACCAAGTGGTGGCATGGTGAAAGGTTAAAGGAGAGAGAAAGAGTGAGGGAGAGGCAAGGGAGAAGAAGCCGCCAGTTTTTATTTCTCTGGTCCTTTCCATTGCCTAGTCCGATTTTCCGAATTTTTTTTTTTTTTTCCTTCGAACTTCTCCACAGTAACGACAGAAAATTTGCGGGTGCCGCTCCGTTAACGGACCGGAAAAATCTCAACAGCCGGAGGGGTTGACTCCTCACGTGTCCACCGATGCTACCCAGAGCAGGTGGTCCCGTGACAAGTTAGTCATCATTCAAATAAATTCAACCTTTCCGGATATGGAAATATAGCCCTCAAATGGATCCTGGATGGATCATGGTTAGTCCCCTATGAAGACATTTGATGTAGGCCTTTCCGTGGATGCTTGGAGACAAACCACGATATCAAGAATATATTGAAGCATGGTTAAACACTATATCTTCACAGATTCTTTGCTATTCCTTCACCCCACTTTATGTTTGTTTTATTGTCTTTCTTTGTTTTCATTCTTTGTGGTACTCACCTCTTTGCTACTCGCTGTGACAAGTTGTGTTATATCTCAAACATGTATAGTTTTAGGCTAGCCGTCAGTATCAATGAAGATGAATAGTTTAAAGGGCCATCAGAGCAACTACTGTGTTTCTCTCTCACTTCATCTCACCATACTTAATGCTTAATTCCTGATCGTCGTGTTACGTCTCTCTCTCTCTCTCTCTCTCTCTCTCAATCTTCAACTGATTTTACAGACACCTTGCCCTTCATTGTCTTAAAACATTAGACAATATTTAAATTGCATTTGTATCCCAAGCTTCATAAGCCTGCTACTTCTTTCACCCCAACCTCAAGGCATTAAGATATCTGCCAAAATGTCCTCAATCCAAGCTCGTGAGCCATCAATTCTTGAGATAACGGAACCCAGACCGACGACCCTGCAAGTTTATGGCAGTGAAACGGATAGTAGCGCTACGCTTGACTACGACTCGGACGAGCTTCACCATGCGGATGATGTGGTGATCATCTCGGACAATCGTCCCCGAGACCCAACACCCTTTTTACTGAATTCAAATGCAGCCACAAACCTGCGTGAGCTAGTGGATCTTACCAACTCAACAGTTCAAACTTTTGATGAGGGTGATTACCTTACAGACGAGGAGTTTGAGTTAATCCTTGAAAACTGGCAGCTGCATACCCCAAACCCAAGAGTGACAACACCGGTTGAGGAACTCCGTGAGACCACGAGACTCCCTGCTGGGGAAGTATGCATAGACGGTATACTTTATACATCGGGACAGTCGCTTGAGCTTTATGACGGGTCATACCTTAGAATCTGTACAGTTCTTAAGGATGGAACGGATGCAGTTTACTTCAGTGGCCGCCGGCTCATCAAAACTAGAAATCACGCCGGAACCTACGTTCCTAAAGAGCAAAATGAACTTGTCTGGATTGTCAATGCCACAGACATTATACCATTCTACATGGTTAAGAAGTTTATTAGTATTAAATTCACCAATATTTGCCAAATCAGAGGCGATCCACAGAAAGCAGCAAAGCCCAACGACCTTTGGTGTCGTTTAAAAGAGACGCTAAAGGACGGAGAAGTCTCGATAGAATATCTATCATACTTCGAAGCTGATGAAGGCCACAAGATTGAACCGGCTATATTACGACAGCTTTGGAGGGGGAAGACCCGAGCTTTTGGGGAAGAAGACCGTCCAAGAGACCGCTCCCATGCAATTGTGCTAGACAATCCTGATCCTGTCGTTGATCTCACCTGTTCCGAAAGTGTGGAAGATCAAAAGAGACGGCGACAGTATACCTTCGGTGACGGTTTCTGTGGTGCCGGGGGAGTCTCATGTGGCGCTCGCCGAGCTGGTCTTTATAACAAGTGGGCATTTGACAAGTCTAAACACGCAACCTCTACCTATCGGCTTAATTTTGAGCATGCATATTGTGAGCTGAGTGATATCTTCAGCTTCCTGACAAATGATGACGAGTTTTTGAGAGTAGATGTCAGCCATAGCTCGCCGCCCTGTCAGACATTCTCGCCCGTCCATACTATAGAGGGTATTCACGACGATGCCAATTCAGCGTGCATCTTCTCTTCCTTAAATTTGATTAAACGCGCCAAGCCTCGAGTACATACGCTCGAGGAAACGAATGGATTGCTTCTGCTTCGTCGGCACCGCGATACGTTTTATCGTGTGATAAATGATTTCATCGAGATTGGATATTCCGTCCGTTGGTGTATCTTGCGACTTCTCGAATACGGAGTCCCACAGATCCGAAAAAGACTCCTCGTCATTGCTTCCGGGTAAGGAAACCCCGACAGTTGATGGTACTTACCGAGATACACTGACATCGTATATAGACCTGGAGAAACTCTGCCGCCTTTTCCGCGTCCCTCCCATGGTCCAGGATTGAGGGAGTACCCCAACATCCATGGAGCAATTTCCAATATTCCGTTAGGGGCAGCGAACCATGACGTCCAGGCAGCACTAAGTCGCGGGTTTAACAAACCTCCCTATGATCCATACCAGGCCGCTCGAACAATCACTTGTGATGGAGGTGATAATTATCACCCTTCAGGTAGAAGGAACTTCACTCATCGAGAGTACGCCTGTTTACAGACGTTCCCCGTAAACTTTCGATTCGGGCCTCATGAGGTCCTAAAACAGATTGGGAATGCCGTTCCTCCTTCGCTAGCTGACGCTATGTATAAGAAGATTATTCGGACACTGCAGGAAACGGATGAGGACGAAGCTCGCCGGAATTTGAGAGAATGACAATGATGACAGTTTCTGTTGCTCCAGGAATTATGTTCCTATCTTATGGGTATCAATTCTTTTCGTATCTCGGAACTGGATCAACGGTTGAGCAGAGGATGAGACGTTGATCCGCCACATGCTTGTTCTTTCCGAGTGATAACCGCGGAAACAAGAGAATGCCGTCCGACCGCGGGACTTTTTGTTGGTTGCAATCATCAACCCCCTCTTTCGGACCTTGCGAGTTAGAGAGGCATGGTGAGATTCTGTTCCCATTGAATCAGTTGAAATGAATCTGGAATTTTTTTTTTCCAAATTGTTGAGAATCAGTAACCCCTGTCCGGATAGAATTGCTAGAATTAAATGGATCCCGAGGATCTGATTGATCAATGGACCGTGGGAATTGAGGGCTGATGCATAACCGGCAATAGCCGCGAGTAAACAAAGGCACGGCCTCGGCTGAAGGGTGGTGACCTGACCGTCCATCGTAACTCCAGACTTTCTTCTCCATTTCTCCATTTTCTGTCGCCCTTACCTTTTTTTCTCCCCTTTAATTTCTCTTTCTTTTTCTCCTCCCTTCTCTTCTACTATTTAAACCATCCCCTACAATCTCCCCTTCCCGAATTGACCATCATTGAGAGTCAGTACCCTCTCTTAAACCTCCTACGATCCGGATCTATCATGTCTGCTTCGTGTTCGGCGTTGAGACGGCTGACCCACCGGTCCCCCCGCACTTTCCAGTCCCGCATCTCCTCCGTCTCCAGAATCTCATCTGCCACATCCTCCCTTTCTTCCCTTAACACTTTTCGTGCAGTCAATTCGGCCGTTCCTCGAGCCTCTCGTTTCTCAACCATGGCACCTCTTCAGTCTGGCTCTCAGGATGGCGCCCTCCAGAAGCCCTACGATCCCGAAATCCAGGACATGGCCAACTACATTCACAACTACGAGGTCAACTCCGACTTGGCTGTATGTCTCCCTAAATTTTGTTTATTTCGCACATCTAGTTTTCGTGATTTCTCCCCAAAATGTGTACAAGATCAACATTTGTCTGACAAGAAGTCCTGTGACTTTCTGGATTCCAGTATGATACTGCCCGCCTTGTTTTCCTCGATACCCTAGGCTGTGGATTGGAAGCCTTGAAATTCAAAGAGTGCACCAAGCTTTTGGGTCCTGTTGTGGAGGGAACCGTTGTTCCCAACGGAACCCGTGTGCCCGGTACACCGTACCAGCTTGACCCTGTCAATGGTGCGTTCAACATTGGTGCGATGATCCGCTGGCTGGATTACAATGACTGCTGGCTGGCCGCCGAATGGGGTCACCCTTCGGACAACTTGGGCGGTATCCTCGCCGTGGCTGATTGGATCTCCCGGACCAACCGCGCTGGCGGCAACATTGCGGGTGGTAAGATCGTGAAGGTCAAGGAAGTGCTGGAGGCCATGATTAAGGCCCATGAGATTCAAGGTGTGCTGGCACTGGAGAACTCTTACAACAAGGTTGGACTGGACCACGTTGTTCTGGTCAAGGTCGCGACGACCGCTGTGGTTGCCAAGATGCTCGGCCTCAGTGAGAAACAGACTGCGGATGCCATCTCCCAGGCGTTCGTCGACGGTCAGAGTCTTCGGACTTACAGACACTCCCCCAACACCATGTCAAGAAAGTCCTGGGCTGCCGGTGACGCATGCCAGCGCGCTGTTAACCTCGTGCTTAAGGTGCAGAAGGGTGAGGGTGGATTGCACACTGTTCTTTCCGCCCCTGTCTGGGGTTTCTACGATGTGTTGTTCAAGGGCAACAAGTTCAAGTTCCAGCGCCCCTATGGCAGCTACGTCATGGAGAACGTCCTTTTCAAGGTCTCCTATCCTGGTATGTATTCTCGTACTCTGAAATCTTAGATGACATCTAACCATTCTTGTCGCAGCCGAATTCCACTCTCAGACAGCGATCGAAGCTGCCGAGCACATCAACAAGAAGCTCGCGGCTATGGGCAAGAGCGCCAAGGATATCAAGGAAATCACCAACCGCACCCACGAAGCTTGCATTCGCATCATTGACAAGCAGTTCAAGGCGATGGACAACTTCGCGGACCGTGACCACTGCGTCCAGGTAAGCTCTCAGCCGGGAGAATTTCGGGATGGTTGAACCATGATCTGATTTGATGTAGTACATGGTTGCCACCATGCTAGCATTCAACCGTCTCACCGCCACTGACTACGCCGATGGCTCGGAGGCAGCCACCTCCCCTCTCGTTGAGGATCTCCGTAAGCGCATTCGCTGCGTTGAAGATACTCAGTTCACCACGGACTACCACGACCCAGCCAAGCGTACCATCCCCAATGCCCTCACCGTCACTCTGAATGACGGTACCGTGCTTGAGGAGGTCGTTGTCGAGGCTCCTCTGGGCCACCGTTTGCGCCGCGAAGAGGCCAAGCCCGAGATCCTGGCCAAGTACAAGCGTCACTTGCAGGCTCACTTCGACCAGGCTCGCATCGACGAGCTGCTCGACTTGGGCTTGAACAAGTCTGCCCTTGAGGGTTACGATGTGGACAAGTATGTCGACTTGTATGTCAAGGACAAGATGGTCGCGTCTGCATAGATGAAGCAGAGCCAGTGAAACTAAAATAATGTGTATCTATCGCGATGTTATGGGACTCATGTGATATGCTGCCTTCAGTTAAGTCGATTGACGGCGTATATATTGGCAAGAGGGTGTTTATTCCAAATTAGACAATCGGACTGCTTTTTCCTTTGGTTTAGACGAATGTGCCCATTAAATTGGTTAGAGATGAGACTCGAAAGTCGGACGACGGTCATAGAGCTTTTTAATGGTGCTCCATGAACATAAAGGTCTCGCCTGGTTCGATTCTGGATAATATCCGAGTTCTGGTAGGGATTCGTCCCATTCGATACCTACCATGAAGACCAAGCCTAAAAATATGTAATTCGAACGTCTACACCCATTTCAATCGGCTTAATTATTGCGCCTAATGACTCCAAATGACGAAAGTCACATAGTTAATCACGACATAGCAACGGTGAACAACGAACTAGTTATTGTATCTAGAATGACTCACACATCCCCCTGTTGAAGAAACTGCAATAGTCTAGCAGCCAGATAGACCAGGATACAAAGAAAAAGGCTTGGAAACGCGACCTCCGGAAATGACCTCCAAAGCAACGGGAAAGGGATTCCGACGCTTGAACCGGGAATCATTTCCTAATTGAACCCGCAAGCAAAGCACAGCCCTATAAATATAAGTACTTCAACTATACTCTCACCAACACTTCCTCTCAGCAACAACAACAAAACTCATATAAGTTATCAATCCCGACAAAAACAACTAAATATAAAAATAAAAAAAAACGAGTCATCATGATCACCGGTCTCGCACACATCAACCTTCTCGTTCCCGAGGGTTCCCTCCCCGAGGCCAACGAATTCTACGTCCAAACCCTCGGTCTCACAGCCCGTCCAGTCCCCCAGGCGCAAGTGGAAACGACAGCGTGGTATGTCATATTATGACTTATTCTCTTCCCTCCTCTTTATTAGAATTTCGAAATTAACACGGCGATTACAGGTTCGACATCGCAGGAGGTCCCCAGCAGGTACATATCGCATTCGGGGTAAACGAATCGCTGGATTCCACGCGTCATCCCTGCTTTAAGATTGGATCCCTGGAAAATCTGCAGAAGTTGCAGCAGCGGATTTGGGACCATCATGTTCGCGGGGGACGAGCTGCGCCGAGGGAGGCGGATAAGCCTGGGGAGGCTATTTCTGGTCGGTTTTTCCCTTTTTCTTTTTTTTTTTTTTGGTTTTCTATGGGTGGTTGTGTTTTTTTGTTAACGTGAGTAGGTGAGATGACCGAGGAGTATCCGACTCGGTTCTTTGCGAGGGATTTCGCAGGGAATAGGTTGGAGTTTAGTTTGTAGTTTGACTTGGTTTGGTTTTGTTGTTTGCGCGGGATAGACGGTCTATGTGATGATTTTTGATGAAGCGATGTGTAATAGAGGATATGATATATGCATGAATCTGATGAGATAGATATCACTTGGTGAAAGGGCTATTGAAGTAAATTTACATATAGTTCATGATAGAGCAAAAGTACAAAGTGGACTACTTTAATGTATATCATATCCTGACCTTCATACACCGGTCTGCACCGGCGGTCTCATGGTCGCCAGAGCAGCAGCTCTCATAACCTCTTGCTCTTCATGTCCGCTTGTATCGCCAAACACGTCGTCGATCTCTTCTAGGGTCTTGCCGCTGGTTTCGGGGACAAAGATCAGTGCCCAGATACCGGCCATGACACACCAGACTGCGAAGAAAATGTAGGTTCGATAGCCGAGGTTCTCCATCATGGGAGGTGTGGCAACCCCTACGATAAAATTAGAGATCCAGTTGGTGCTGGTCGACAATGCCACGCCCTTCGATCGAGTCGCGTTGGGAAAAACCTCGGATGGCAGGGCCCAACCAAGAGGAGAGTACGTGAGACCGAAAATCAGAATGAATAGAAAGGCCATGGCGACGCAGGCCCAGCCGGCAGCTGTGTGGGCGGACCAGTCATTGCCATACAGCCCAGATAGAATGGCGATGATAATGTACGCGACTCCGGTGGCAAAGCCACCGAAGATTGCCAATGGCCGGCGTCCAATCTTATCAATGATCAAGAAGCAGACAAGGACGGTGACTAGCTGTAGAACATTGAAGACGCCCGACAGTATAAGTGACATCTCGCCTGATTGGCCGATTGACTCGAATAATGTAGGCGCGTAGTAGATGAATGCGTTGATTCCAATAAATTGCTGGAAAAAGGCTACTCCACAACCAACGACGGTCCTCCGCCAGCCTTTCCGGCCGAATAGGTCTCGCCAAGCAAGTAGCTGTCGTTTGATACCGTGCTGACCAGGATGCCTTTTCTCCTGGATCAGCTCTTGAAATTTGACCTCGGTGATGATACCCTGGTATTCAGCTTGTACCCGTACATCGGTTTCTGGCAAGCCTCGAAGCTTGGAGAGACTGGCGAGACAGTCCTCTTGGCGGTTGACGAGGGCAAGCCATCGAGGCGAGTAGGGGAAAAAGTGGATGCCAACACCAAGGATTGTTGCACACACCATCTGTAGACCGAATGGTAGACGGAACGAGACCTGGCTATCGATCAAGCGCGTACCGAACGTAATCCAGTATGAGATGACGACACCAGAGACAATGGAGATAGACTCCAACACCAAGAGCGTTCCTCGTAGGTTAGGCGGAGAGATTTCGGAAATGTAGAGCGGGGCACCCTCCATGACCAGGTGAGCGAGATGAACCAGTTTGTTTGGTAAGGATCGTTCAGGGGATATCGAGAAACCATGTAACATACCATTGCGAGTGTTCCGACCCCGATGCCTCCAATGGCTCTGCCCGCCACTAACGTCGCATAGTTCTGCGAGCAAGTTTGAATTATGGCTCCGATATCAAAGATCACGACGACTACGGTCAGGGCCCACTTTCGGGAGATTCGATCGGCGAGATAGGGCATGAAGAGACAGCCCACAAACGCTCCAAGCAACAGCATCCCCGTCATTAACCCTTTGCCGAAGGCGGTTTCGGCTTGAGGAAAGACCGCGTGGAATTGCTCCATGACATTGATAATGGAGATAACCCCTTGGTCATATCCAAATGAGAAACCTCCAAGGGATGCTAGGAAAGCCGCCCCAAGGACATACCCCGAGCTGACGAGGCCTCGGATGCCATCGGGACCGTAGGCTGGTATCTCTTGTAGTTCTATATCTGGTTTGATAGCAACGGTTTCGTGATGCTCCGAAGTGGAAAACCCTTCCGAAAGGAAGGGTGGTTCAGTATCTTTCTTCATACCCGTCGCCATGATCAATCGAGCGCGCGGTTCTGATCGAATTGGATGTCAACCGGGTTTATTACTTGAAGAATGCTGAGGACATATAGACGTCCGGTGTCATTAAATACACCGGCATATCCATATGTTACATCGGACTTCCGAGTCGAAAGTTTACGGTTATTGAAAACACGGAAATGTTTCTAGACCTGTCGACGTCACTGAAACAGTATCGACGTCGAGAATTTCCGTTCTCAGTAATGCTCGGCGAGGCAACTTGACTTTGGGTAATTTTAACTTATGTTGCACCTGCCATGATTGGTTGGTCGGCTATTGTAAGTCGATCGTTTTCTGGGGTAAATGCGGGGGAATCGCGGAGTAGATTAACTTAAATCCCGGGGGATGTGCCCTCGGTGGGAGCCTGAGTTTTACTCTAGCATAAATTGCTTGACTTGATTGCTTTATTTCCGATCACATGGTTCCATTTTTTGCATAGATAACAAGAAGTAGGTAGTCACTACAAACACAGTCGTATAACTCTCAAGCGAGGATAATTAGAATGATAACAAGAACAACCATGTAGATCAAGGTGGGAACGTGGCGTTGCCCTTGTGTGTATCTCTGTTAAGACCGATCTCGAGGAATCATAGCTAGCAGGCTTACTATATGGCCAAGGCCAGCAACTGCAATCGGGAGTTGTTCCATGTTTTACTTCGCTGTCTAATGTATCTAACAGAAGGCGGTGATTGATTGTGTTGGGACATCATCCGTGACACTGTAGCGTCTATATATACCCTTTCCGTAACTTGATACACTATGATACTCGAAAGAGTGTCTTCATTCGCGGTGACACTTTCCACATATAGTATAATTGAGACGGAAGCGTGAGGAACAGGCGGGGAGATTTTCCTAACCTGGTACTGGGGAAGTTCCCCGCGTTGTGCCTGCAGGATTTCCCGATACGGAAAGTCCCGCCGCGGTGTATGTTCTTCAGCCAACTTGAACTTCACTCGGTGAGCATGAACTTTCTATTCTCATGTCAATTTAGCCATTTTGGGATATCGTCGCCTACAGAGAGATGATACCAATGCAGCAGAGTCGAACAGTCCAAGAACCATGCTGGAATTGTCGTGGTCAGTCGTTGTAGTCTGTCCTATACGCACTCTTTCGTACTAACTCATCCGACAGATAAACATCTGAAATGTAAGACTAAAGTAGTGCCTGTGACAGTGGTGCAGGACTAGCTCTTGAAAACGCAAGAAGAAAGAGCAAAACAATGTGGCTCGTATCTGGATGCTATTGGATGCTACACCCTTGCATGAGTGCATACATAGAGTGGCCGGAAAGCATGCTGATCATAGCTTGTTCAATTAATTTACAGGTGATAAGCAAGCACCCAAGTGTGGACGATGTGAAGCGAAGAATCTAGACTGTGTTATAGTATCGAAAAGACAGATCTTCCGTCAAGGTTCCACTGCCCATTTTTCCGAGGACCAACATTGGGTGAACAGTAGGCCAAAGCGAGGTGAGCAACCTTCCGGAGGAATTCCAATAAGCCAGCGAAGCTTTGATGACTGATCAGCTCTCATAGCTCGGCTCCGTGTACATGATACAGGAGGATCTGTTGTCAGCAATGTCCAGTTTGACTCTTCTATTGGACACACGGACCACGGGACCCCTAGTACCATCCCTCACAGGAGTCCAACGGCACAGCACTCTTCAGAGCCCTTCCATTGCTTTGATCTCACTTCCGCCGAAAACCAGCGTCTACATGCTCTAGCTATTACAGCATGCGAAGCTGACCAGCTAACGCATGATGTTTCAAGCCTAACTGGACCTATATTCCAAGAAGATGAGTCGCAGCAGGACTCGGTTACAAGTGAATTTAGCTCCCGGCTGCCAGATGAATCTGATCCAAGCTTTCCTGTCGAAATTCTGTCTGTCTCCGGAAGCCCAGAGGAAATAGGTCACCGTGACAATTGCCAGGGGACCAAATCTTTCAGTGGACCAGTTCAGTCTGAATACAGTCCTACTCCCACTTCTAGTGATGCGGCCCTCGAACCGCTTGAGAGCGTTCAAGAAGCTTGTCTATTGCGGTACTTTATCGAGGAACTTTCTCCCTGGGTAGAGTATACACAGCGTGCAATGTTGGACCAAAAGCTAACAGACGCATAGTTTGACGTCTGTGATGATAGGAGACATTTTCAAGTAGTGGTTCCGCATCGCGCCCGACATTGCCCTCCACTTCGGAATGCTATTTATGCCGTTGCATCGCGTCATCTCAGCCGTTTGCCGCAGTACAGGACATCCAAAGGACCGAGCTATCAAGGGCAGGTTCTTCCCCATCTGTCGACGTCTACCGCGGTGGAGTATATGCTAAAATGCATACCCGCACTCATAGACTTCCATAAGATCTGTGACCGGGAATACCAAGAGAATATTATGGCAGCCGCCGTAATCCTGCGACAGTATGAAGAGATCGAAGAGGAGGAGGAGGAGATTGATAGTAGCACTGGCGCTCGCGACCAGCAGCCTGTTAATTTCCTTGCCATCATACAAGCCATTATAGAAACCACTGTCTCAATACCCACGCACCACAGCTTCGCCAATGCTGTATTCTGGATAGCTATTAGGCAGGAAATCTACTATGCATTAGCTATGCAGCGCTTACCCCGAATGAAACCTGATCAAGATAAGCGCCAGGGTGCCTCTGCTGCTAACAAACTGATCTTATTTGCCGGAGATGTAACGAGATGGTGGCTGGGGGACAGGTCGCCACTAGACTGGGGTGAGCTCCAACAGGTTCAGCTGGAACGAGTACATACAGCTGACTACCTTGGATACAGCTGTATTAAAGGAAAAACTGCACGCGATCACCACGGAAATTATGCCTGAGTTCGTTCCAATCCTAGACAAAAAGGCCGATAAGTCCAAGGGGGAGATATTTTCGACTGTCTGGTACTGTTCGAGTGCACAGGTATTTGGCGCCCAGCACTACGAAATCGCTCGAATGATATTGATCGCAGAGAATCCTAATATTAGGTATGTCGCGTTCTAATACCTCTGCGCACGTCTCCTTACCCGACTCTGGATTGTTGATAGACTAATATAGGAACGATCCACATTGCCGCATTGCACATCGTAAGGTTGAAGCACAAGTGCGATCGATAGTGCTCAACATTTGCGGAATTGGTCTTAGTCACCAGAACCTCTCGCCCGCCCTGGTTAATGCCGTGATCAGCATCATACTTTACGGTGAGTATTTCACTGATCCGAGGGAACGAGAAGCACTGGAGGCTGTCATTGAGAAGACTAAGGCCATCCATGCTTGGCCTATGAGAAAGTTGCATCATGCGGTGAAGGCCAAATGGGAGTTTATCGATAGCGAAGACTATTGATCTAGTCGTCGAATATGAAGCACATCATTTGGACCATTGCGGACGTGTCCATGGGTAGAAACTCGAGAGCCACAGGGAACACCATATGACACGAACGATGACAAAGGAAAGTGTGGGACAACCGATAGAGACCATGATCACCAAATATTGGCACAGGGTTTCTGCTGGTCACAACGAACCTTGCGCTGCTGACATAGCACGCAAGAATGACCTCTGGTGAGATTATTCATGTTCTTGCAGTTATCCGAGTCAGTACGAAAGATCATAAGTGGTGAGATGACCAGTTTTGGGTAGAAGCGGGTGGCTGATGATGTTCTCGGCTCCGATGCTAGTCCCAATACGGATACTCCTACAGTAACAAGGCTATCAAATCGGGGTCAAGGTTGTTACTTGCTACCGATCTTGTCGGATTTGCTATACTGGATGGGGTTTCCTAGTGAAGTATGACTGGATTTTATTTCGTGGTCAGTGGGGCACGGCGTGGTCCCAGACTGAAAGAGTCATAGAGCTGCCCGTGGCCGGCCTATATAGCATGGTCAGGTCTTTTCTGGGAAGAAAATCTTCGATTTCTTTATAGTCAAATATAATACTATAAGACTGTCTATTGCAAGTGTCGCAGGCTTGACTCAGCCAGAGTAGGTTGACTCTTCACGTTAAAACCTTACTTTGGACATATCTAACACATCAAAAGCCAGAATACAATATCCATAACCCGAGTCATACCAAGCCAAAGATATAATCGCTAGCAACAAACAACCAGATGGCACCTTCAACTCACGATAACAAAGCTGAGGTTGACAAAGACAAGGATATGGCCTCAGACAAAGTTTTAGACGTTGAGAAGCAGAGCATAGTGCCGAGTCCGGCAGGGCAAAAGCCAGAAAGAGTATCTGAAACTCTTTATCAGCCCAGGACTCTCAAATTCCGGCTAATTATATCATGCATACTTCTTTCTCTCTTTGTCGTCAAACTGGATCGGACAATTGTCAGCACTGCTATTCCTCGTATCACGGATGAGTTCGATAGTCTGGGCGACATTGGCTGGTACGGTTCGGCATTCTTACTCGCGGGAGCAACTTCCCAGCTTCTCTATGGCCATATATACCGAGCTTACGAGATGAAGCTTGTATTCTTACTTTCCATTCTAGTTTTCGAAATCGGTTCTGCCATCTGTGGCGCGGCCCCCAACTCAGGCACTTTCATAGCTGGACGTGCTATAGCTGGGCTCGCATCCGCAGGGGTCTTCTCGGGGTGCATGCTCATCATAATACCCATGATCCCGCTGCACAAGAGACCTATGTTTCAAGGCATTCTTGGAGGAGTCTTCGGGGTTTCTAGCGTTATGGGACCCTTGGTCGGTGGCCTTCACCAGCTCGGTCACCTGGAGGTTTGCTACCTAGGCTTGTTAACAATGGGAACTATCTGTGACTAATTTGAATTACCAGGTGGTGCTTCTACATCAATCTTCCCATCGGAGCAGGAACACTGATACTTTTGTTCTTGATATGGGATCCGCCGAAGTCAAACCACGAACCTGCTTCCATTTGGTCTCATCTAAAACAGCTCGATCCTCTGGGCATGTTTTTCTTCGTGTGAGCCATTGTCTCTCTGCTGCTAGCTCTACAGTGGGGCGGCTCGATCTACTCGTGGAGTAATAGTCGAATAATAGTACTCTTCATTCTGTTTGGTGTCCTGATCTTACTGTTTGCCGCCGTCCAGATCCTCAGGCCAGAGACGGCAACGATGCCAACAAGGGTAATCTCTCAAAGAAGCATGCTTTGCGCAGCTCTTTACACTCTCTGTATATCGAGCTCCATGATCTTGATGGTCTACTTTCTTCCGATCTGGTGTAAGCACAAACTCCTATCCCACATAAACAGGCCATCCAGCTAACGGCAATGATTAGTCCAAACCGTCAAACTCGTCAGCCCCATCAAGTCAGGCATCTACACATTACCGCTCGTGCTCAGTATGGTTCTCGCAACGTTCATAGCAGGGCTCATGACGCAGAAGACCGGATACTATGTCCCAGCCATGTACATATATGCCCATGTATCTTGTCATTGACCTAGGTTTGATGTCCACTTTCAACCTCAACACCGACTCATCCCATTGGATCGGCTATCAATTTTTATCAGGATTCGGCCTAGGCTTTGGAACGCAAGTCCCGGGCCTCATTGTCCAGAGAGTCCTCCCGCTTGCTGGTGTACCGATCGGAATCGCACTCGTATTCTTCCTGCAGCAGCTCGGTGGTAGTGTCTTTGCTACAATTGGTCAATCGATTCTTACCAATTACCTTATATCTCAGCTTTCCGACATTCTGGGTCTAGATACAAGAGAGATTTTTTAAAAAGGGGCTTGCACAAAAATCTTCCTCGCTTCAATGGGGGTCTCGCTTGCTGGACTGCTTGCCTCTCTTGGTATGGAATGGAAGAGCATTAAAAGGGAGAAGAATGGGCAAGACGAACCTACGCAGACACCGGAGGTTGCTAACAAGGACGGGCATGGCGCAACGTAAGAATAAGGGGATGTATGGGAATGCGTAACAGCGGATCTGTACTCTAGTGAAAGGTGCAAAATCCCTAGGTAGCAATTTAGGATTTATCATCGCTCTATGTGTGCCACAACAACCTGGATGGCGATTAGTGTTTAAGGACGTTAACTTTATTTTTCTGTTTCTAGCAAAAATACATAAAGTAGGGCTATATTTCACGTTTTAAGTGGCATGTGTTTTGATGCGTAATCTATTGCCCGTCGCAATATAAACCGCTACAATGAATTATAAATGATGACCAAAAGCCTGCTCCATACGACAATTGACTGTCTACCCGAATACTAGTATCATTGTACGAAACCAGCTCTTGTATGACTCTCCAATGAGGTAGTGGGTATGATATATAGTGTGGTGTTCCCATCAGCCATATCAAGTTATCAACATACACTACTACAAGGTGAACAGGACACAATCACGACGCCCGCATAATGAATAGAAGTTTTTTACTCAAAACAGAATATTAGTTATTAAGAATTAAAACCACCCAGGCTGAAACAGCTAGGGGCCAGCCGAATATGGATAACGGCCGCAAAGGCTCCACCGGTTGGGTAGAGCTGTGGAGCAAAGGAGCTCTGAACCAGGGGACGAGCACCACCAGGTGGACACAAAGCTAACATTCGAGAAAAGAGCTAAGTTACTTGACACGAGCTTTGGGTTACATTGCAAGAAAGTTAATTTTGGGTTGGGCAGTCGGGTTTCCTGAAATAGCTTTGATACTGCAGCTTACCTACCTTGAAGATATCTGGGATGGACATGGATTGGTCTGTAACTGCACATTGGAAAGTGAGATGTATCTTTTTACTTATCTGGTTGATTTGGGTATCATTTGTTTTTGTTTTTTTATTTATTTTTTTTTCCCAAAAGAGAAATACAAAGAAAAAGTCATAAAGAGGGTAGAATCCAACAGAAACACTGCCCGCTGGAAACGCGGACAATCTATGAGATGCCTGGATAAAGACGTGCTTAATAATGCTTTGATAATACGATTGTACTCTAGAAGACATCTTAGTAGAAAAATAAGTGGAATTTTACGGGCAATTTGTTGTCACCTGGTGGGCATCATGGTGGATAAGGGGAAAAAATCGATAGTCCACATATGAAGTTTCCATTTTTGAGTACTTGTAAAGGCCATATCACCAGGAAAAGACGGCCACAACCGAAGGATTACGACAATTCCAAGCTGTACACTAATAGATAGAAAATTGAGAGGATTGGGTCTCGTTGTGGGCCAACACATGGGCTATAACGTTTGCTCATCGGGTCCCACTGTGTCTCGGGAGCCCCTTTTTCTTGACTTGATGATATCTCCATTGGCCGGCAATCCACCACTTATTACGCTAGAATAACCCTATTCTACGGAACAAAAGCTATAGAGCCAGGCACTAAGTCGCTGGTGCTTCTCGGTGGAGCCAGTTAGGCTTCTGGAAATCACTTGCAGGGAGCTGTTCAGTGTTGCTTGCTCTCCCCAACATTGTCCGGTTGACGCCCTAGCTCCACCGAATCATCAATCCCTGGTACCTTCTGTCAATAAAATGATCAGCGTTGTTTTTCTCGCCGGTGATTGAGTGGTTTGGGCAGAGCTATAGTGGAGTATGTACGCGACTCGTAAATCAATTGGGCATCATTATGGCCAGGTACGAGATTTTCAGCAGACTCCTGCCAGACGAGGCAGCTGGGTCGCGCAATATCATGGCTATAATTCCCTGTTTTAGTCATTACCCGTACCTTTTTCAGTCTTTCAACGAAAGGCGACCCTTTTAAGCAACGGGCAGAGTATCCTGGTAGACGAGAACGGACTGGCACGGCGTCTGACAATGGTACCAGGCTCGTCTTCGGCACTGAAAGCCTCGCGAGGCGTTACTTCGAAAGTACTCTCATCGACAACGCAGGGAGCCTTGTCAGGTGAGACACTTTCGAAGTCGGGCGCTTATCACCCCGTACAAGAGCAGCGTCCTTCAGCGCCATCCAAAGGAGATGAAAAGGGTGGTAAAGTCGACAGGATTAAGGAGACATCGCTGAAGCAGTCAGAAGCTCCAACCAAGCCACAATCCAATCAACGTGTCTCTACCACGCAGAATTCCATGGAAAGCAAACTCAACACGACCCCTAAACCTGCGTCGCAAGGCATTTCTTCGGAGTCCCTGGTGGGCCACTCACAGCCCCAGCAACCATCGCAGGCCGATGGCGATAGACTGACCACATTTCCTCCATTTGCCGTTGGTCCAAAAGACAAAGTCAAAAAGTTCTTAGAGTCGCAAGGGCTGGGTGATTCCAGTGATACGCCTCAGCAAAGCGCTATTGACCACCTCAGATCACGCCCTCCGACTCCGTGGCCGGGCGCTGCAGTAGATCCGGAATCTCTTCAATCAGCTGATGACGCCCGACCCCCAGTCCCATCTCATCAGTTGCCTCGTGTGTCAACGGCAATAGACGAACTTTCAAATGGGCCATTACTTAAATCGACCGTGAGCACAAAGCCTGAGGAGCTTAGCTTGAAAGACCTCGGAATTTCACAACCTGACATTCCCTTGCGTCCCTTGCCGCCCATATCTACTTCCCGATTCAGCTTTCTGCCCAGGGAGGACGACATCTCGATTGTGGATGATCCGGCTCTATTGACTCCAATCACTGAGGTACCAAGTGAGCTTTCCCGGGCGAACTCACCGGTCGATCCGTTGATAGGGGTTTTGAAGCCTCGCCCAATAGTTGAACAGCCTAATCCTCCTGTCAAGAAACCTCCGGTCCAGAAGCCAGCCAAGATGCCAGCCTCTCATCATGCTGCACCAGCAGCCCGTGAAGTTCCCAAGCCGCACCCACCACCGTCATCCACAGTGTTATCTTCCATCCCAGACAGACCAGGGACCCCACAAGTGACGGTCGGCTTGCTGAAACCTAAGCAGAAAACGCCCGTAAGCTCAGCAAGCCCTCAGGCCAGACCAAATCTAGCCTCTGCTAAAAAGCTCGAACGAAAACCAAGCAAACTCAACATCGCTACCAGTAGCGGCGCAATGGAGAATGACAGTCGACGACAATCTGAGACAATATCAGGAAAGCAATCGGACAATCCCAACGTAAACCCGCCGCAACAGCGTCTTTCATCACCCTTTAACCCATTAAAGACCAATCAGCAGGCTTGGGACTTGGAGACAATCGCGAGTGAAGACAGCTGGTTCCAGGAGAACGAGGATAGTGATGGAAGCGGCTCAGGAGAAAGTGGTCCTCGACGTACTCCTCCGGGTCCGGTGCGAGCCAGGTTGACGGTTGAGACGGTCGAATGCACATTCCAGCCGCCAGCTCAGACCCCGGATCTAGATCAGGCGCAGTATGATGGTATGGGCCAGACAAGGAATGAATTCTTTCCACCCTGGGCGGTGGGAAGTCAGGCATTATCGGAGGGAGCGAGGGATTTGAGGACATGAGCCTCTGGTTATGCTCGAAAAGTTTCGTGATCTTTCAGGCTTCCTGAATGGTGTACATAACGAATTTCATTTGTATAAACGGATTTTCTTTGTATAGAATTTAATGAAACTACCTTTATTACATATATCTGTATCATGTTAATTTACTTTCAATAGAGTAATGGTTCTTCTATAAAATTGCAAGCTTGGCTTCGCATAGACCACCACATTAAGTCCAGAACAGATAGAACACTTCGTATCTTAAGCATGCCATCGGCCACAAAGAAGATTTACGATCCATTCCCAACTTCCCCAGGATATTTTAAATTTTCTATATTAGAGGCTCGAGCACATCTCAACTATGTTACATCACTGCGTAAACTAGCCAAATTACGTTTTTAAACTAGGACGCCATTGACTTCAACGATCAAATCAAAACTCAATGGTCCTCCGATGCAAAGAAACACTAATATTACATCGTTAAACAAGGCACTATATAAATCAACAAGTCTATGACTCATTAAACAAAGCCGTCCGACCAAAAGTCAACACAAACCCTCAATAAAACTCTCCAACGCCACCCAGCGGTGGAACCAACTTTACCACTGAAAGAACCACAAAGCACTGCAAACAGCGCGCGGGTCTAGAGCCTTCACACCATTCTAATCCGGCATCCTGAACGAGCGACGATGACCTCCAACCAAGACGCTGGGCAGCAGAAATGTATGCCTAACGCTAACGGGTCGCAAAGGATCAGCGCCAGTCGAAATTGCAAGGAAGCTTCCAGACCCTCTTGTTGTCCGAAACAGGGAGACCCACACGGTTAACTAGTTGAAAGGTACCAGGTGCGATGGGCCTATCATGTTAGTTGGTTGATTTGATCGGATTTAACTTCCGATCAAGTTTCTGGTCGAGGTTTCTGACTGAGGTTTGGTGATGGTTGTTCATGTTGAGTTTCGATTGGTTTGGCACATGATGCCTGGTACCCTATCAGGTTGGCTGGTCATCTTATCTTGAGGTATTATGGTATTGGGCTTGGGTAGCATCGTACAAGACCTTTCTGCCGTTTGAGAACTTAATACCACGTCTCATGTCTGTACGTTGCTTTGAAGGATTTTTTTGCACCAGGGAATATATAAGTGGGGGGGGGGGGGTCTACTGTCATAATGGTTGCGCCGATCAGCACCCTTTCTGTACTCCTACCGGAGCCTGAAAGATTTCAAAAGAGGGAATTTGTGGTAGACCAGCTAATGAACACCAGATTTATGAACCCAGTACTCCGTATACGGAGTATTCCCAAAGCCATGATGTACTAAAGATGTTTTGTGCGCCGACGATCATTGCCAAACCAAGGAGGAGAGCAAAGCACGGTGCTAGGAATCCTGCATTCTCTTCACCTTGTTTTCTATTTTCTCCCTCATTCATTGCAGTGAAAATAAAAAAAGAAAAAGAAAACTAACTCCAACCACACCGAATAATCGAAGCCCAAATCCCGACAAGGTGGATGCTCTGGAATAAGAACGGGGCGGATCCGTGATAGTGAACGCGGCGAGATGATAGACGTAATTACCGGTAGCGAAAAGACCTAGTGCGTCAGTGCCTTGATCAATGATCACTAATTAAGTCTGACTTTGGAGTATCATCCTTAACATTGGACTAAGGCACCGTCCTCTAGCTTGGTGGATCGAAAATGATGTTAGGGCAGAAATTGAAAAGCCACGCGGTGCTTGTCGACGGGCTATCCTCCGACCTAATTGTTTAAGACTATCTATTATAGGCGGATCATTCTTCCTGAAGTTTCTAGTAAAGATAGATCGGGTCCCCTGCTTATCTTTATGCATCTCTAGTGCTGTAAACCCATCATTATTGTTTAGGGAGCCCTTCCGGGATGAGGCGCAAATCAGATGGAAGCTAAAGAATTCTACTTTCTCGAAGGCTCGAACCCCGAGAAAAGGGCCCGGAAGTTTGATGTGATGTCATGGCGCACAGGCTGTACTATTTTAGTATTTGGCTTAGAGTTGCATTCGGCATTGGGAATCTTTGTTACCTCGAGGAGGGTGCCTTTTGGGTTTGCCCATTTGCCCCCCAATTTCTTTACATAAATTGAAGTCCGAAAGATTAACATATCTATCACTTCAACTTTTCCATTGAGGTCAAAGTTGGAATCACTACGGGGTAACTGACGAGGAAGCCTTCGATGCTCTGCGTTGTTTCAAAAGCCAGAATGCTCCGCACAAACTAGCATTCTTTACCCCAAGTCCGGGGATTTTTTTTTTTTTTTTTTTTGCGTATCGAAGAAACAGTTCGGTGTATAACCAGGGGTGAGTTGTCTGGAAAGCATTTACCAAATCAGTTCAGCTCAAAGTCATTGGCTAACTCGTCCAGCGTTACGAAACTAGAGAGTGCCGGAGCAAACACTGTGCCAAGTACAGCACACCAGAAGCTGCCCTTGAATACCATATTTGTGGCAGAGACAGCGACGCGTCGGACACAAAAGTGGATACCATGTTTAATATGTCCAGCAAATTCGCTCTGGACGTCGTTGTGTCGCATCTTCATGACGCGCTAAGTCAAGAGGGGGATAGTATTCTAATCTCGCGGGAAGTCCTTTCTACAATCCTTGAGGCAGTGACTCAGTCTGCAAATCCCGAGAGAGCTCTATCACCAGTGGAAGCAGGCTACTTGTCTGTAAGATGTAGGTTGGAAGCTTATAAGAGGGCTGACGACCTTGTCGCTAAGGAGTTGTGTCAAGCGAGGAAAGAAGTAACAGCGTTCGCTAGGAATAAGCTCTCAGATGTGAGTGTCACAGCTCTCGTTTTGCTTGGCCACCTATAAAGATATGGTAGCCATAGGGCAGTATGTCTCGGAATGGGGACTAAGTAAATAGACTGACGAACAGACTCAGCCCCTGGTGCAAAGTAGGAAAGTCCCAGCTGGTATCCCGAATGACACCCAGATAAGCATGTGTGGCGTCTGGAGTGAATCTGGGCAGGACAATTCATCAAAACAGTGTCCCGTGACGGAATTGATTGACGATACAAGAAGCAATTCATGCAAAATCGATAAGGACGTGGCGGAACTACCTCGGAGCTTGGATCTATACGAACCATTCCGCAGCGGAACGGAGGTTGAAGAGATCCCAGAATGGCAGGTAGATGCCGAAACTATCGATGCATCCAAAGGCGACCCTATATACGAAGCTCATTACTCTACTGAGTTACCAGATCCTGCCCCACCGCATAGTTTTGAAAGGCGTATCGGGATCCGCACGTTTGACGAGATAATCAAGCTCAAAACTAGCATTCGCTACATGATTTCGACCGTGGAGAAACGATTGGAACATTGTGTATCTGCCAGGAAAACTGCCGAGAAAGCCTACCATAGCAAGTCGGAACTTCTTGCTACCATGAGCCACGAGATTCGCACACCCATTCATGGTATCATTGGTATGGCTCAGTTAGGACTCGAAGCGGGTTGTCTTCCGGCAACTGCTCATGACGCTTTTAATCTGGTTCATAGCTTGGGCAAAAGCCTTTTGGCAAATATTAACAACGTTCTTGACTTATCACGAATAGAAGCCAGTGGTATGGTTATCGAAAGTATCCCATTCAATCTTGGCTCAACGGTCCTGAACACATTAAAGCCGCTTGCAGTTGAGGCGAGCAAGAAGCAGACTGACCTTACCTATGAAGTTGGTAGTTCTGTGCCCCAACACGCCGTTGGGGACCCAAACCGACTTTGCCAGGTTCTCTTCAACCTGGTCGGAAACGCAGTCAAATTCACCAAGAATGGGAGAATTGAACTTTCCGTAAAGCATGCCCAGGAGCAGGCATGTGCCGAAAACGAATGCGTCCTGGAGTTCTCTGTTGCAGATACCGGGGTCGGTATTCAACCAAATAAGCTGGAACTCATTTTCGACAGATTTCAACAGGCAGATGATTCCGTGGTTAAACAGTTTGGCGGTTCAGGCCTTGGCTTGGCTATATCCAGAAAGCTCGTTAGGTTGATGGGTGGTGATATCTGGGTTCAGTCGACTATAGGCATGGGCAGCATTTTTTCCTTTACCTGGCCGTTGAAGCTTGAAAGTCCGTGTGCTGCCACGGCTGAACGCATGATATCTCATAGAGATTGTATTGTTTTCTACATCACATCAAATGGTCAAGAGAGCGACCCTATATGCAAGATCATTACCGAGCATGGTATCCAAGTGCGTGTATTAAATCAGCATGATGTCCAAATCCAGGAGCTACGGGACCAAAATCAACTTCCAGATATCGTTATGGTGGAAAATCTTGAAATGGCCTGCGCTCTACGAACTCATGGACACTTCGGCTCGACACCCCTTGTCTTGTTCAATCCCACACCGTCAGATTCCTTCAAGATCTCCATAAAGTTAGCCTTTGACCTGGGTATTGTATCATACATTACTTCCCCTTGTTCTTCCGAAAGTGTTCTGAGCTCCCTACTTAGCGCGCTGCAGGATCGTCCAAAACACCCCAAACCTAACCAAACGACGCCTTTGTCGGTCCTCATAGCAGAAGACAACGATATCTGCCGACTGGTGGCAGCCAAAGCACTTGAGAAGTGTACCAGTGATATTACTCTCGTGACAAACGGTCTTCAAGCGCTCCAAGCATATCAAAGCCGACCGTTCGACGTGATCGTTATGGATATTCAAATGCCGGTAATGGACGGACTTGAGGCAGTGTCCAAGATCCGCAATTACGAACGAACCCACAACACAAAGCGGACCTCAATAATCGCGATCACAGCTGATATCGTAAATGACGATCGTCTCGGAGCAGAAATGGACGAGTATGTATCGAAACCACTGAACCCAAACCAGCTACGGGATGTGGTCTTGACGTGCCACTCGGAAGGAGCCCAATCGCAAACGACCGGCGAGAACATGGACAGAAGCTCCGCATGTGAAATCTAGAGATAAGGCTTCTTGTCTTAGGAAGGCAAATAATTGATCGCCCCGCACGCATCCCTTACAGCTAACCCATCAGGTGCCTTGCCGATCTTTCATGGAGAGTGGGATAGCCACTGGGTCAACAATCACTCCTACGGAGACACTCCCATCGGAAATCTTTCTTTTTTAGAATTCATAGTGCTACTACCCCGTGCTTGATAAATCCAGGGCTGAACTGTACTGGTGGCTTATGGCGCGCATCCTCAACGTGCTATAGAATTTCTAGCTTTTCGGTTGTATATTCCGGGCCTTTTAGGGTTTGCGGTGTACATACATAGGAAAAAACCCCTGAGAAGCATAGTTTCCAAATCATCTCACATGTGTAGATAGTATCTCTTTATGGGTAATGTGAATGAGACTTGTCTTAAGGCACGACGAGTTCAGCTCGATTAGTGAAGAGACGCCCAAGCGAAATGCAGGTGAGTGGATATATTGTTATTATAGATCAGATTAAACTTCCTAAAAGGAATGGAGGGGCATATGCCATATGCAGTAAGCCATATCGAAGCTCTATTGAACGAGGATGATAATTGCCAAGTCCTGTGCCTATAGCTTGTTTCTTTCAGGGCATATCCACGAAAATAGTTAAATTAATATGATACCGAATTCTTTGCTCTCGGTAACTTTACAAACGTAGTAGTAGCATCTAACAAATACACACACGCAAACACACACTTTATGGCTTCCAGATTATCAAGCCTCCGCCGTATTACTGCGCGTCGGAGGGCCCTGAATATCAATAGATAATTTTGGCATCCAGAATGTAACGTTGGAATGTGAGGAGAACGCTTCAGTACCCATACTCAGAACTCCCAAATAGTCACTCTTGGATAATTCGATATCTTTGTTTAGGTGATATAGGTCAGAGATGAGAGGGAGAATATCACCATCAAACTTCTCCGTAGTGTTTGCTGCGTACCACGTCAGGACCTCCTGTTTAAGATCATTCTGGCCAGTATACAGTTGGCTGTAAAAGATGTCAGTAGATGTTGAGGCGTCCAGTAATGGGACTATAGGCCACTCACAAGGTCGTGCCGTTTAGGTCTTTAGTTTTGACAATACCATCTTCATACCCAAATGGTTTGGCCTGGCCATAACCCGCAAACCAAATCATCATTTCGTACTTAGCTATGGAGACGTTCTTCGCGGCCTTGATGTCGCTATCAAAGAACATATCAAGAGCGACGTTGGTATTGATATCCTTGAACTTCGCGTCATCCGTTCTGTTCGCGGTTTTATTGCCCATTGCATATGTCCAATGGATATCGAGGTTCAGGTGCTCTATATCTGCAAGTGAAGCGGGAAGAACATTGTCAACCTGGACGTTCGGGAAGGCGTGCACTGTCTGGTCCTTGGTTTCCTGGTCGAATCTCCATGTCACAGAAAACTCTGGTGCTGTTGACATAGTCGGGTAGGAGCCATTGGCAATGGTGGTGACCTTGATTAGACATACATGATGAGCATGACAATCCATAAAGTGACATAACTGAAGTATCAAAGTAGAAGTACTTACATTCATACACAATCCTCCTACTGTTTTGTCTGTCACACCCCACTGGTTGGGGTTCACTGTGCTCCCAAGTCAACATTTGCCCCGAAATCTGACCAGCAGCTCATACGGACTTACATGTGTAAAGTTGGCCGTTTGACTTCGGTGAAATAGGATTGAACAAATCACAGTATCGTGTGTTGGTAACACCATTGCGAGAGGTACTTCCATCATTACCGATTTCATTGTAGAAGAGAGGCCGCTGTCCTGTTGCTTGACGGTGTGCGTCAATACCCATGAGAGTTCCAACAGAGCCACCAATTGGGAGGGCCAGCAGGCCAGCGTTGACGAGCAATTGAAGAGCCATGTTACCTTGATTTGATTTCGAAATCTACGAAAGAAATTTCGGGGCGTTCGTTGGGACTTTTACATTTTGTTGTTGGTTTCGGGTGGTAGTGACCCGGATCAGAGCTAGGGCTATTCTTAGGGAAGGAGGCACAACACAACCTTAATTCAAGGTCAGCTAAGCCCTCCTTTCTGATATCAAATACCCTGAGTGGGCAGCACTAACGAAAAGACTTCAATAGTTTTTAGGCCCCCCGTCGATTAAGAGTAGTTGATCATCGGCGGCTGCGAGGTTTGAATCTCGGAGATCTTATAGTGTGCCCTCATGCAGGGGGCGTATCGATCGCAAACCCTAATTCGGTATACAGGATATGATGCAGCACATGGACCTCGTCCCTTGGAAGGCGTGGGAGGGCGGGTTCCTTGCAGCACTGAGTCAATACATCACATTGATGAACCTGCATCATGCAAGTTTGGATTTCTCTATCGCCATGGACTTACCGATAATGTGGGTAGTTGTCTTAGCGACCTTTGCGGCAGATAAATATTGTTCGGCTATTAGGAAGTCATACACGATGTATAAAATTCTCTGGCAACCTACCTGGGACGACCCTGATCTTGAGAGCATAAGTATAATTGATTATACTTTCATCGTGAAGGCTATATAGCTCACGGCCAGTCTCAAGATGGTTGACCACCACGAGGGTCAGCAAGATCAAGAGAAAGCAACTGCCTTGAATATCTATGAAACTGAACACCACCCTAACAGCTTCGAATGTCAGGACGAATATGCCAAAGGCGCGATACCAATCCGCCCAGGGCATTTGTCCTTCGGTAGTTCTGATACTGCAAAATCCTTCACAAATACCCCCTCAGACTCTTCACCGTCCTTGGTAATTACTGTCTTCTTTCCGATACTTTCAGGGGTGATCATGTTAGAGCTAACGGACTTTACTTGGCCGAATGTCTAGTGTAAGGAAGCCCAAGCTGATGAGATCCATTCTGATCCCACTGGCTCTTCGAACATAGCTGTTCTTCATAATCGAGATGATGTCGATATCTCGACCGGGTGGAGGCGATGGGTCTTCACCCTCGCTCCGCTCTTTACCATCACTAACACGGCCGTGTACTTGTTTTATCTTGGTCTGCGTATCTACTGTATCGTCATGGCACAAAGGTCGGTTGACATCTACTATGGCGGGGCATGGGTCTTTGTCGCCATTGAGATGGCCGTGGCTATACCATCTCTGATCCATAACCTTTGGACCATCATGGCATGGAAGAAAAGAAGCAGGCCTAAGCTTAGATTGACTGGAGATAAAGTACCCACGGTGGATGTCTTCGTCACCTGTTGCGGAGAAGACGATATTGTTGTTTTGGATACCGTCCGTGGTGCGTGTGATCAAGATTATCCAGAGGGCAAATTCAGGGTTATCGTGCTAGACGACGCCAAATCTGCATCCCTGGCAGCTGCTGTGAAGGAGCTGGCCACAATCTACCCCAACGTCTTCTACATGGCACGAGAAAAGATCCCTGGCAAGCCACACCACTTCAAAGCTGGCAACCTCAACTATGGCCTCGAACAAGTGGAATATTTGCCTGGAGGAGCCAGTGAGTTGATAGCAGCACTAGACGCTGATATGGTTAGTAGCCCCATTGATCTTGTTCGCTTTTGACCTCTGACCAACTAACATCACCCAGATCCCTGAACGTGAATGGCTGCGTGCTGTCCTTCCCCATCTCCTTAGGGATTCCAAGGTAGCCCTCGCATGTCCTCCTCAGCTCTTCTATAATACACCAGCCTCGGACCCCCTCGGCCAGAGTCTGGACTTCTTCGTACATATCATTGAGCCAATCAAAGATGCCCTTGGCGTGGCCTGGTGTACTGGATCCGGTTATGTGGTTCGCCGTCAAGCTCTTGAAGACATCGGCAACTTCCCTCTGGGGACTCTTACTGAAGATGTCGCAACCTCAACTCTTATGCTCGGCAGAGGTTGGAAAACAGTATACATCCACGAACCCCTTCAGTTTGGGACAGTACCAGAAGACTACGGTGGACATCTCAAGCAACGTACCCGATGGGCGATAGGAACCGTGGACACAGCAGCCAAGCTGAATTTCTGCCTATGGGGTAAGAGTGTTCAGCATCTGACCTTCGCCCAACGCTTCTCCGGATTCATCTACGCAATCCTCAACTTATTTACTCTCCTTCTCACTGCGTCTCTCTTTACCATTCCCATTATTCTCCTGTGGGGCAAACCTCTGGTCGCGTACGCAAACGAGGACCAACTCCACTGGCTCATCTGGACCTGTTTCGCCTCAACCATCATCAACCGGCTCTGCGAAGCAACATTATTCTCCCCAGCAGGCTACCACACGGGCCAAAGAAACTCCCGATTCCAACTCTGGATGGCACCCTACATGGCAGTCTGCATGGTCCGCTCATTTATCCTCCCCAAATGGCTCGGAGGTCAAACGCAAGCCTTCAAACCAACCGGATCCCTCTCCTCCGCACTCAACGAGCGCGACCCGAAACTCAGCAAGAACATGTTCGTTCGTCTACGCGTCATATTCTTGAACTACATGGTGGTATTCCATCTAGCCTTCGTTTATGTTACTCTGATCGCAGTGATCATTTCATCCTACCGCTGCTTCTCCATCGAGAACGGTGCCAAGGACGTCATCATCTGTCTGATCACACATGCCTTCTGGCCGCCTTTCGCTTTTTTCTTCATCTGCAGCTCTATGTGGACGCCGATCGCCTATGCTATTAATCCCCCGATCATGCCTGATCGCGAGGATCTGCTCGTGCGGGATCCGAAGACTGGTGTTGCTCATCCCACGGAGGAGAGTAAGCGCATCGCCTTCGGTGGTCAGGCTGTTTGGTTCGAGTTTGAGTATTCGGCTGCTACTATTGCTACCGTCTTGGTCTTTGCATACTCTTTCTTTTTCTAGATTCTCATATCTTTTTTCTTTTGTTGTTAGATTTGTGGAGGGGGTCTCTCTTTTCTCGGAAAACATTCTTTCATTAACTTGTATTACTAGGGTTATCTTTAGTTATTCCTATCATAAACCACGTACTAATTAGATGGCGTAGGTCTGGTTTGGATATTTTGATATTGAATATATATTCTTACTACCATTCATTCTCCTGCAATTCGTCTATATCCTTCAGAAAGTAGTGGCTTTCAACGGGCGAGTCTTTCTATAAAACCATTCCAGTACAAACTCTGTCGTTCTAATCTATATAAGACATGGTACATGTTACATATAAAGTACATGGGTATACAAATTCTATCATTACCATAGAATGAATACTGCCCCCATCATCCCTGGGAAGGGTTGCTACATCCTACAAGGCACCGCCGACTTTCTCAACGATCCACATCGCCAACCGAACGTTCCAACTAACGCGGCGTTCGGTTCTTCTCAAGTCATCTCGTGAGATAGCTTGAGACTCCTTCTGTAACCATTCACTCTCTGCACCAAGTCTCCGCTTCAGGTCCTGATCGCCGGTAACGACCAGCGCGCCAGCCTCTAGATCAAGGCTATAGCTACGCTTGGTATAGTTGCTGCTCCCCACGAAAGTCAGACTGGGATGTTCTTCCTTAGGTAGCGTGATCCAAAGACCCTTAGCATGGTAAGTCCAGCCACCTGGTTCCCCGACCGTTCCGCGTCGCCATTCTTTCAGCTGGATGGAATTTGTTCTCTGTGCCGCAGCTACACGGTCAAGAAACCGTGCAGAGAGATGGGTGTATGCGGCAGGAAGCATGCCGGAAATACCGGGGGAACCGTAGAAGCCATTGGCCCAGGGGGAAGCTGTGAGCACGGTACCACGTGTCGTGGATTCGGTATGTGATGTTGAAGTACTTGCGATCAATAGAGAAGAGAGGACAGGGTGGATGTTGAAATAGCCGGCGGTGAACAACCATCGGGCACCGGAGAATGCAGAAGATGTTGATAGCATGCGAAGGATTGTGGTCACTGCGGGGAACTCCGTAGAGGTATCGGGCTTTAGTAGTGGGGTGAATTGGGCAACGGGGTAGACATATGTTCCGTCTAAGGATTTCTGTTCAAGTGCGTGTTTCGTTTGCGTCGGTTGAATAAGAGGGCTCAAGACTGTAGAAGCGTAGGAGATGAAGCTCTCGGGGTCTTCCAACGGTGATGACGTGCCGTTGGATGTTGGCCAATCCATAAGATACCCAGCAGTGTTATGCGGATCCGGTAGTATTTGATAGCTCAGACTGCATACTGCGTGGTGGATACTGCCATAATAATCGGCCAGTTCTTTAGACTTGAAAACATGATATCGATCCACACGGTTCGTGAAATAATCATTGGAAAGGTTCGCTCTGCAAATATATCATTAGCTGATAGCCTTAAAGACGGATCTTGTAAATAATAAAAAAAAAAAGGGTACCATACCCGGAGAGTATAATCTCGTCATCAATGCCATAAAGCTTCATATGCTGAAGACCCCAACCCTCGTTGATCCTCTTAGGGATCCATTTCTTTCTCAATCCCGTGAGATTCGGGGTATGAAACATGCGGATTTCCACCCTATCCGAGCCATGTTCAGCGACCAGTGAGGCCAGAAGCGAAGCGCATGAGGGATTCGGCGTCTCGCGAGTTCCTCGTAAAGCGTCTGTCAGAATGGATACTTTGAGATCGGGATTGTCATGTAGAGCCTGGTTCACAGTCTCAATAAGCTCGTGCTCCGATTTTCCGATATACAACGTAGAGAGGTAGACGCGCTTCCGGGCCTTTCGTATCTTGCTCTGCAAACCCTCCGCATTAGTCCCGGACTATCTCCGTTTAATTATATCATATATAGACTTACCTTGAGGGTGCTATAGAAACTAGCGGGAGAGTCTAAGATTGTAATTCGTGAAGCCGGAACCTCAAAGCAGGGAGCAATCCGATCAAGCTCCGAAGTGATACTTCCCAAGGGTGAAGCTGTAGAGGACGCATTCGCGCTGGGACTGGTGCTGGTTGTATAGGCCGAGAATTTGCGCTCACAGA